AGCAACCAAATCAAGCTGGACGACCCCGACCTCGAAAGATACATCTTCACTAAGGACACTGCCGAGTCTCCTTTGAAAGTCCTGCTCCCTGCTCCTCGCCGCAATCAAGCTTACTCCGCAGAGCTGTTTGTGCAGAACTTGAACCGCCTTCTCGCGGGGGATTCGCACCCCCCAACTGCTGACGATATCACCGATTATTGCAGAGACATCGGGCCTGGGAACTTGAGTGTCCCTCCCGAACACTTTTCCCCCGAGCTGGACGCGGCTTCAACATTACAAGTACTACTTCAATCCTGGTATGCATCAGCCGACCAACTTGAAGAGCGCCAGGACTGTGCATTTTCAAAACTCACTAAAATCACCATGAATGCCATGGAAAAAAGAAATAGGGTCTTCCAAACTAAAGCAGCATTCAAGTCTGCCGGGATTTTGGATTCCTCCGATTGTGCTCGCCTAAGAAGGTTCCTCATCAAAGTGATCTATCATCGCATCCTTCTGTTTGCAGATACCATCTCAATGATAGCCGAAGCCACAGATGCCGGGGGGAACTCAAAACTCCATCCTTTGGCCTCTTCTTTGGTATTTGGTAAAGAGGTCATCTCGCATAAACTGTTTTATTCCGAATCCGTGATGTTCACAATCTTGCAAACGCAGTATCGATCCACAAACATAGAGGAGCTCTTTCGTTTAGCAATCAAAGAAATGAAGGACTCTCTCGGATCCCGAGATAGCGACATTTGGGGTCTTCACAGTGATGTAATGAAAGAGACAGTGATGCAGGTAATCATCAATCATAAAGACTTTGCAATATCACTCATGTTTGCAGAACTCCCCGCGCATGTCAATGCTAAGTTGTGTTGCGACCTACTACAAACTGACTGTGATGTCAGTACCATTTGGTCTTGTACATCGCTCGCGCCTTTGGCCAATGAATTTTCATTGCCAGTCTTCCAACAGCTGAAATCGGACGGTTCACTTTGAAATTCATGGATGCATGTGAGTTTGCCATCGATTCAAGCGACTCGTACTTCGGGGAGCTATTCAACTATCTTGAATGGGAGGATAAGGCTAAAATCTTCAATTATTTGGAGCTGTACTTTCTTACCCACCGGGACTCCTTGGCAGTTTGGGAAAGCGATTTTGGGTCCAATGAAGAAACAAATTTGTTGATGTTCTCAAGAAAAAATTTGCAAGGAGTCGAGCTTTTGCCGGTTTTCAAGGACTTCTTCAAGAAGTTTTCTGTATCCAGCACTGAGAGTTTGGAGATGCTGCTCGACAAATTTGAGCAGTTTTCAAGCCTACTTCTGAACATCCTTGAGCTTGTGGACAATGCGGCCGTACTCAAGTTATATTCGCGGCAACTTCATGATATCATTTCTGTTTTCTTGAGACTTTTGATCATCCATAGCGCTTCTCTCACCAAGGTGATAGCGATGCATGACTCATTGCACTTTGTCTTTTTGAAAAATATGATGCTTCTACTAAACTCCACTTATTTGGCCAGTGGGCAGGATAAGTTAAAAATTTTGCTCTTTGACTTACTTTTCCAAATCAAAGGTTCGCTTACGCAAGCTTTGGCTGCGCCGCATGAGGACGACATCATGGGGAGTTCCCCTCAAGTTCCGGAAGCCAATGCCAAAACTGAGCTTTCTCCTGACGGTGCAACGCTCGAGAGTACCAACAGCGCGGCCATCATGACAATGTCCATGATCTTGAATCTCCCAGAACCTGAAATGAACTCATACGATTTCGGCACAGATGAAGAGTCAAGTCCGATTACACTTGATGATGAAGAAATCAATCAGAGCAGCGATGTGGCAATGGCGAATGACCCTAATCTTGTTCTAAAACTGAAAGAAAATAGTGTCGAGCAGGAAGACCCGTTCAGGCCAACTGACCTGAAGTTCACCAAACAGTTCCGAATGGAGAGCGTGGCCCTAATAGAGGACACCACTACGGAAATCAACTCGGGGTGTATAAGTCTTTCGATGTTCGGTGCCTACACAACGAAGGAAAATCCTTACTAGAGCCGGAACAGAATAAACAGATTGCAAGAGAGATACTAATTATGATCGTTTAGCACCCGCGGGGGTGACGACATGGTGCGGCCGCGCATTTTGGGCTAAACTGCACACATGGCGACGTCATCGTGCAATTGTGTACCTCGATTGGTTTCTGGACGAGTGCTCGTTCTGCAGGTAGCAACATAACCCTTCGGGTATCTTTGGAGCCTTGGCGGACAAGGTTCGTCTCGAGAAAGAGCACAACCACCAAAAACAAAACACGACCCCCATTGTTGACCTTGTGAAGAAACGTGGAGACGCTTTCCTGTCTTATCAACTAACCCCGATCACAATACTCTTCCTCATACTGGAGATATCAAAGTTCTTTCCACTTGTCTGGAACAGTTGTTCAAACCATGTCCCAGAATCATTTGGAAGACTCGGATTTTCTTGGTCCATCGACGTACGGGCAGATATCTTCGGACTCTCCCGTTCACGACGACAAGTATGAGCTCGCAATTCAAAAACCTGGCCGTGTGCCCGACCTCTCTTTTTTGAGTGCCAACTTCTCTTCAGAGTCCTTGCATTATGACCCAGACGAGGTTTCTACCACACCTTTGACATCAATGTTTAACTCAACACCTGATGGTGCTGTTAACGATTTGGCGAACGGGACACTTGGCAATTCGGCAATTCCCTCCTCGCGACATACTTTTCCTTATGGGTCAAAACGATACTCGTTCAACGGCAGTAATACTTCATTGACGAACACCCCTGCAGCACCCGTGGGGCAGCCTTCGTTTTCTTTTCATCAGCGAGCCGGCTCTAACTCCAGCAGCTCACGTACCAGGCCACGCTCTTTTTTTGGCGGAGAGCCCACAAGCAACCCCATCTGGGAAGACGACACGGGGTCGTCTTTTGGGGGAATGGATGCTTCAGCTGATACTGAAAAACTGAAACATCGATACTCGGCAAATTTTTCCTCAAGACGAGCTAGTTACACACCCACGGCAAGCTTACTCCCACCAGCAGAACCGAGGACCCCGAGACTGCGGTCGGGCTCTCCTTCCCGGAGCTCGTCTCCCGTGCGGCAACAGAAATTGTCTCCTAGCCGCCAGCGAACAAGCTCACCGGCAAAAAAACAGCCGTTCAGCTTCGGCTCACAAGAATTGACGATGCTGGGGATTTCCGGGAGCCCTTCGCTTGTTGCTAAGCCTGCGCATAGAAAAGGCCATCGATACAAACACTCATCAGTTTCGATGAACTTGTTTCAGGAACCGATCCCTATAGCTGAAGCCAACAATCAGCCGAACCTCATTCCGGACCTGTATCCAATTCCAAACTTCAAAGAGTCATCGGAAAGTGCCAGCGATTCACAAAAGTTCAAATTGGCCATGTCTTTAGTGCACTCTTTGACCTCTGTCGTTGTATTCCTAACAGGATTTTATACACAGCAGCAGGCGTTTTCCACGCTCGCCCACTTGATTTTCTACGACTCGCTAGGCTCGTTGATGACATCCTGCGTGGATGTCATGTCGAACTTTGAAGTGTGGAGCAAGTCGTCCATCGCATACCCATTTGGCTTGGGGCGGCTTGAGGTTTTGACAAGTTTTGCTTTGAGCACGTCGCTGGTTATGGTGGGCTGTGACTTGGTCAGTCACTTCATCGAGGAGTTAGTCTTGGGGATAGTTGACCCTTCAATGGGTGACAGTACCGAGCATAGCGCTCACCATATACACGGGACCAAAGAAAATGGAGCCGTGGACTGGCTTTTGTACGAATTGGTTTTGATGTTGGTATTTGCAGTCACGTGGGTCACTTCCACTTACATATTAGAGCAGACTCCGCTTCTAGAGCTTGTGGAAACTATGGGTCTGAAAAATAGATCTATCAAAGACACTGGGCTTTTGGCATCGCAGACGAGACATTCTCAGCAGAAGGCCTTTACTCAGCGTGTTAGAAACATGCTGAAGATATTGATTAAAAACCCCATTAGATTGCTCACGCTTTTATACTCTGCGTTTTTCTCGGTGGTGCCTGTCATACCCGAGAACTTGAAAGAGCAGTTTGGTTTTGACTTGAATGAGTCGTCTACTTTGGTTGTTGCATCTCTTCTATGCTATGCTGGGTGGAATTTAGTAAAGACTCTCGGAGGGATATTGTTGATTTCATTTCCTTACTCGGACTATGATTTCACAGTGACTAAGGCATCAATTCTCGATCGGGTACAGAATCTTGCATGCTTCAAAGCTGCGTACCGGATCGACAAATTGCACTTTACGAAAGCAAACCCAAGACTTTACTTGGCTGGTGTTGTGGTCCACATGAAAGGGGCCAGCTCCGACGACGAATCGCGCATGACATTTGAGATAAATCGCATAATTGTGCAAACGATGAAAAATTTTGAGAGCGACTGCGAGGTGGAGACCACCATCAGCGCCGACAGGCTATAGGTTCACAAGAGAGAAAGATGATAGTAAGATGTCTTGCGGAAAAATAAATGACCATTGAGTGAGTGTTGTATTTTTGTCAGCTCTTGTAGTCAGTAGCACAAAAATCATCTGGTTCATTCTTGGGTAGCCGAAGCTAGAATGATTTGAGGTAGAGGTGTCAGTGGCTTTTGATATTATTGCAGACAATGTCTCTTGCACTTGAAAGAAGAAGGAGTGTTCTTTCTTTCTTGGCCGATCATCCGCAAGAGAAGTGCGTTTGATAGTGAATGCTGCCAACAAGCAGCAGGTGCAAAGTTACCTCTCGAAATGAATCTTCGGGAGATTGCACGGAGTTGCTACCTTCTTTGAAGAAGGTTCAGGAAACCTGTGGCTGGCTATCCGCACCTGTATAGTGGGCACTACTACAGTTGTACGTGATTTCAGAAATCCATCCAGGATTGCCACAATTTATTAGATGGTAGGATACATGGTATGAGGGGATTTTCGTATGTGGTGAGAGGAGCCATCGGATGTTCTATGACAGAAGACATCGTACATAGTATAGGTCATCATATGTAGTATAGGTAGTCATCACATATGTATAGGTCATCATATATAATATAGGTATTCATCATATATAGTATAGGTATTCATCATATGTAGTATAGGTATTCATCATATAGTATAGGTCATCATACATAATATAGGTATTCATCATATATAGTATAGGTATTCATCATCTGTAGTATAAGGGGAGTCACCATATTCCAGGACTCATGATATACGCCTCAAGACAAGCGACAATGCAAGACTCGAAATGAGTCAACGTTCACTGTGAGAGGAACCCTTTGGTGTATGGTTTTAACCATCATACATCGTATTTGACGAATCTATGAGTCAAACCATCATATGACGGTCTTGGGTGAATGAGACGGGTGGATCATAGGTGGCCAACAAGGATAAAGCCTCGGAAAATCGAAACTCTTAAAGAGTAGCACATAAAGTCCGGCCATCACACGGGACGCAAAAGACGAATCATATGTATCATCACCAATCGGCGTGGATTGGAAAGTCTCGTCCAATCTAATCAGCCATGCAGACGCGCGCGTGGTTTGCACCCAAGTTGCCCGAACAGGCAATGGTTAGTCATCTAAGCGCGGTGCGGAAAAGATTTTCGCCCGATAAGCAGGTACATAACCCCCAGCATACGTCGTTTTCCCAGCATTCTGCCCGCAAAAACATGTTGAGATCTGCCTGCTTGAAACCAGCCCGGCTCGCGGCCGGGCTCCAGCGCTTCTCCACGTCACGTGCCCGTTCTGGTGCCCACGTGCCCGTGGCCGACGCAGACGCCTCCTCGGTCACCGGAAAGTTCATTGACGACATCACAAAGCCCTACACAGTCACCACCTACGCCCGTCCCAATGTGGTCATCACACGCGGAAAAGGCTCGTATCTCTACGACCTCGAGGACCGCCAGTACGTGGACTTCACGGCCGGAATCGCCGTCACGTGCTTGGGCCACAGCAACGACGAGGTCAGCCGCATCATCGCCAAGCAGGCCCAGACCTTGATGCACTGCTCCAATCTCTACTACAACGCGCCGGCGGGCGACTTGGCCAATAAGCTTGTGCGCAAAACCATTGATGCCGGGGGAATGGCGGATGCGCAGCGGGTGTTCTTGTGCAACTCCGGGGCCGAGGCCAACGAGGCTGCGTTGAAGTTTGCCCGGCGGTACGGCAAGGCCAGCGGCGAAGAAAAGACCGAGATCATCTGCTTCAAAAACGGGTTCCACGGCAGAACCATGGGCGCCTTGTCGGTGACCGCCAACCCCAAGTACCAGATGCCCTTTGCGCCGTTGGTTCCCGGCGTGCACGTGGCCGACCCTGCGGACATCGGCTCGGTGGAGGCCGTGATCAGCCGTGCCCGGACCGCGGCTGTGATCATCGAGCCCATCCAGGGCGAGGGTGGCGTGAACACCGTGGACCCGCAGTTCTTGGTGCAGTTGAGAAAGCTCTGCACCGACAACGACGCCGTGCTCATCTACGACGAGATCCAGTGTGGGCTTGGGCGCACGGGCCAGTTGTGGGCCCACTGCGCTTTGGGGCGCGACGCGCACCCGGACATCGTGACCATGGCCAAGGCCTTGGGCAACGGGTTCCCGATCGGCGCGGTATTGGTGGGCGACAAGATCGAAAACGCGTTGCAGGTGGGGGACCACGGCACCACCTACGGGGGCAATCCGCTCGGGGCCTCGGTGGGCTCGTATGTGGTGGACCAGGTCAGCGACGGCGACTTCTTGGGGCACGTGGCCGTGGCCAGCAAGAAGTTCACGGACGGCTTGGCCAAGATCCAGGCGCGCCACCCCGACAAGGTGAAGGCCGTCAAGGGCAGAGGGCTTTTGTTGGGCTTGCAGCTCCACGACCACGTCGACGCCGGGGCCATCATCCACAAGTGCAGGGAGTATGGGTTGCTAGTGATCACTGCGGGAGGCAACGTCATCCGCTTGGTGCCTGCGTTGAACATTCCGGAAGACGTCATTGAGCAAGGCATGGACATCTTGGCGAAGGCGGTGGCCGAGGTCTAGTGCTGCGGGCACGTGGTGCTGACTTGGGGTATGGTGGGGGTGGTTGCTCGATGCTGTGGAGGCTAATGTTTGCGTTTGTTGCATGCTGGCGCACGCTGCCGTGCTTCTGTTTTCCTGCTCTTGGCCCAGGGTTCTTTCAATTGCTCCGGGCACGTAAATAGATGGGGGCCGATATATTTAAAAGACATTTATCTGGAGAATTTACGCGTACAACAAGCCCATGCCATGACTCTATCTAAATCTACAAGCCCATACCATGACTCTATCTAAATCTACAAGCACTTCCCAAACGTCTGACCAAGACCTGTCGATTCCGTCTTTTTTGGGAACAAGACGTACAGCCCTTGGAAGACTTATAACTATAATTTCTGGTCTTGGATTTCTTTTATTTTGCTATGGTCGTGATCGGCTCGCTCCTCAATCTTAAACCACTTTATGAGACATATACAAATTGACTCAACTCTTCGTAAAGATGCAGCTACCTTTCAGGGAGCTGTAACTGCAATCTACGAAATCGGTTGTTTCCTTGGAGCCTTATCTACAATCTATTTTGGTGATGCGCCCGGCCGGTCGAAAGTATTCTCCATCGATTCTTATACTATGCTTTCGAAACCGTTTTGGGTTGGGATAGAGTTCTACGTCTTAGAGAGCCGAACTGCTGAAAAATTTTGTGGCCGAAAACTTCCGGTCTCCTGTAACCCACAGTAATGGCGAATAACTAACCATTCCAGGCCAAGCCAAGATGATCTTCAGCTCCCTTGGTCTTTATACCGAAAGGCCCATGGGACTTTGTAGCTTTTTCAGCAAATGAGATTATCAGACAAATAAATTGGACATATCAATTCTTCCCTGGCCCAGTAGTTTCTCCAGCGCTCTCCATGTATGAAGACTCCAATCGATACAGACCAGATTCAGCGGCAAATACAAACTCATACTCAGGATCCTGAGCGACAATTGACAGTCGTCATTGTATACGGCCAAGTTGCAAATGCTCGCGGCCATCAGTTAGGTTCAGCCCACTCAGCCCTGGTCTACATTCATTTGTAGATTCATAAACGACTAATACTTCATGCAACGTAAGATGATGGGCTTTTTCGTGGTTGCTGTAATAAAACGGCACAGTTTTTGATTGTTCGGTCCCTAGGGGAAGGCCTTGACATAGGTCGATTGTATTGATTGAGAATTTAGAAGCAAAGACTATTTTAACAGTTTCTGTGAAATAATCACCTGGTTCTATCCCGACGTTATGCAGAGAGCGTCCGTAATGTTCCACGATCTACTGCAAATTGAACAGTTAATCTAGGTCGGACTTTCATAAATTAGCTTTTCTAGCAGCTGATTCAATCCGAAGAGCACAACTTTATTAGCTCTCGTAGCCCTGTGTGGAGATGAAGCAGGTGCAAATCCATGGATAATGTTTTAAAAATGAGTTTTGACTGTACTTGAAATGTGACCGGAGCTGTGAAGAGACGTGAGATCAGTTTAGCTCTATTCGAGTGACCTGGTGATGACAATGGTCTCCTGGTGACTTTCGTTGAAGACTCAAGCCGGTTTTCGCGGATACAAGATATTCACACGTATATTTCCAAAGGTAAGAAATCACGGATGATCTAGACAAGCATTGGATACTTTCGGGTAAATATTCACTCAAAGGCCTAACTTTACAATTTATAATGTATGTGTCATTAAGATTTTTTTCCGAGCGGGCCCGAACCTATAGATTTACGTTTCCTTGATTTGTGTAAAACATCAACAACGAATCAGCCTCTATACAAAGTACAACTAATCACTCCTACAGTTCATGATACTAGATTGAAATTAATCACATGCAGGTTCGAGCTCAATAAGGTCTTTCAATGCAAAATCAGGTGGACTTTCGGTTTCATTATCAGTTTCATGCAAGCGTCGATGACAAGCTCTCCTACAGGACCACTGATTCAGATCGCTCTTTCGACCCAAGACCCAGCGGCTCCAAGAACAAATTCTGTTAGTATCAGAACGAATCGCCTAACTCTAAGTAATTTTATCAAACGAATCTGAAATTCTCTTCTTATTTATTTCATTTCAAGAGCTTTAGGCCGACTCTACTATCTCTCTCGCCTCTTGGCTCTAGCAAGCTGTACTAGAGCCCCATTCAAGCAAATCTGACACAGATAGCATATACAACCTTCAGTATTATGGACTTGAATGCATAGATCTGGGCCTAAATGAGTTGCTTGTCATATATTTTAATTTCTGCATCGCCGGCTGCCATTCCGGCTTTATAATCAATGAGGTCCAAATTTCTAAATCCGTACCGAAAAGTGTGATTACTCCTCTATGTATCATTAAAGTCAAATCCGAAGGGTATATTTGCAAAGCTTTTTGTGTATATGATCTGATAGGCTCTTACGAAACAGCGTGTAAATTTTTGGAGGCGTTTTAATTCACTGACAAATGAGCAACAGAAGGCATCAAGACATGTATCATATTCCCTTTGAATTCGGCACAATTTGCGACCTGAGTCTTGTCTTGGTAAAATATATGTGTTCAAAGTAGTTCGAGATCATCAACACATATAATTCAGCGCACTGACAAGAAGAGCAAAAGATGTAGCATTTTTGCATCATGGAGCTTAGGATTTTTGATCTGATGTTCCTTTTCCAAATTTCCATCACAATACTCATAGAGCTGGTATGATGACTACTCCAATTTGTACCTGTTTCTGTTCTTGTTTTAAATTTTAACGAATTTTCTCTTCAGGACACAGCATAGATTTACATCTTCCAGCGAAGATAGCAAAACAGGACTAAATCAATGTCCGATATCTCGTATCCATTCGATACACAATTGGACCCGTCACTGTTACTAGCCCCTCGCCTCTAAGGATGCCAATAAAGCATGCCACATTGCACAACACAGGTAGGGTGATCAAAATGAACCATACAAAAATCTTTTAGACACGCTTCGACCACCTGGTGCCAATTTTCATATTGGAAGCAATACCGCAGGTTTGCTGGCTCGTGCTACTTTTCATACCATTTCTCGCCCAATTCGTCAATGACATGAACAAGGCAAAGTCTACTAAACAGCTGCTTTGAATTCACTTTGGGTTGAGTTCAATTAAGATCTAGCCGCATTTGAGTGAGCTTGAAAATATTGTTACCCGCAGTTTAATACACTTAACTTTACCATCGCCTTAACTGGGAAAACTCAAAGACGCCGTCACCGCATCCAACTTGTTTTGATTACACCGTAATCTGAGAATACTTAACTCAACTATAGCGCCACGCACCATCAAAGAAATACGAATGTGACAATCACCTATGATTAACTCAGGTATCACCTGCATGTCAATAGCTTCAAAAATATCACCATATTTAGCTAACTTGAAAGACGCCATCGTCTTAATTGAATAAACAATATGACATGCTATTAATTAAACAAACGATATGCCATCACCTCAATTAAAAGAATTTAGCCATCACCCCAGAAACCCTCAAACATTCCATCACCTCTATCATACAAATCCAAATACATCACCACCTTAATAAACAAACAAGATACCACCTCCTCAAAAAACAAAAATTTTCGACCATCTCAATGAACAAACAATATCTGAACACTTTCACATAAACAATATGTTACCATCAAATAATCCTATCAAAAATCCAGTACTCCAAGAATCAAAGAATTAAAATAATTCGAATAATCCATTACAGTAAATTAACACAATCAAATACCAATTCGATGGAATCAGACTATGCTAACAATATCAAACTTCATACTTTAAAGAAGGATTGGATTAGCTCACGTTAGCTCTTGACGGAGTATCATTTTTCTCGAAAAGGTGTCGCACAAATAAATGGGTATTTAAAGCAAATAAAGCACGTTAAATAAAAAAATAAAACAGTTGAGTAGGGACTCAAGCGTCTCAGATTATTTAATAGCAAACGGTAGCATAGTATGGTCAATATTATAAATAGTATGAATATGTATAAAAGCATGCCTAGGCTAAGTCAGGGAATAGTGACAGTTTGTACATCAAAACCTTTACGAAGGATATCCTTGACTGGATTTTAGACGAGGGTGAAGAATATAAACGACATAAAGCGATTTAGCAAAAGTTTATTTACTCAAGCTGTTCGTGATTTAAGAACGCTATGAGAAGAATCATCCTTCAAGATAACTAGGAAAGCTCAGCTAGCAGCCAATATAATGCATTGATTGAAAGCGTATGAAAAAGAAAATATATACAGTCGTTGGATCTGAAGTGCTCCTTATTTTCAAATAACTCATAAAGCTCTATAAAATGTAATCCTGTAGATGTAAGGAGAGAAGATATGACAAAAGGTATGGATTTTATAGCATGAGATTGCATATAATTTTCTTATTTTATTGTGAGTAGTAGCTGAAGAATCAGAACAGGTAAATACTAACCAGCTATTGAAAGGGTGAAAAGACGTAAACGGATGTAAAACTCAAACCTGTAGCTATAAGTAGTCCTTGAGACTGTACAAGTTGGTTCAGTGTCCATTCCTGAGGCTATTTGAGAACCTCAAATATTTCTCTTGAGTTTAGACCTAAAAGGTCAACTCATACAGCTTCAGAAGACTCATTTTTTGACAGGTTTCAAGAATAAGTGGCTTTTTCAGGGAAACATCATTTGAACGCAGCTTTCCTTTATAAATAAGTACGTAAAGGAGATAGGACAAGTAATAAATTAGTATTTTAATCAAAAAGAGGTGCGCCTCGAGGAAGTTTCCTGAGTCCTATACCATGTAAATAATTACCAATAGAGTTTGAGAAAGATGAATGAAGATCCAGATACCGTCTGAAATCAAGTCAAGATGATGCTACACCCAAGTTTTAAATAATGGTAATTATGAAGCAGCTAGAAAATATGTATCTGGCGGTATTCTCACCATCACCGCAGCTTAGATGCATCCCAGATTTCGAAATTTTAGTGATAGCTAATTACGATTATTATAAAGCAGCTAGTTTATTATGAAGCAGCTAAATTTTTCCTCGCTAATGGTGATCTCACGATAACCGCCATTTAGATTCACTAGAGATTTCCCAATTTTAGCACTAGCTAGTTTTGATTATCATAAAGCATCTAGGAGCCCTCTCCAATGGTGGCCTCATGGACGATATTTTTCGCAGGTTAACTTTATCCCAGCTGGCGATTTCCTAAGCTGAGCACTAGCTAACTTTGACTATTATAAAGCAGCTAGAGCAGTCCTCTCAAATGGTGATCCCACAAACACCAATCACCACTTATACTCCTGGATTTCCTAATTTAACAATAGTTCGATAATGTAATTTTGAAGCCTCTAGAAAACCTCCAATGGTCACCCCCTGAATTATTCACCTCTCGGATTTATTTCAAATTTCGCACTTTTAGCAGTAGCCAGCTATGGTTTCTATGCCGCAGCTAGGGAATAATGATCCCATGGATGATAATTATCGTACATCAGATTCATTACAGCTGATGATTTCGTAATTTTTATATTTCTTACTTACGAGATCAGTATTTAATGGTAGTCCCATGGACATTAATTATCTCAGGTGTAGATTTATTGCAGATTCGTAAACTCAAGATCTCTTATGAGACCAGTTCCCAACAGTAATCATATGGACTATAATTACCGCAGCTTGGAATCATAGCAGATTCGATAAGTTTCTTCCCCGGCAGATTTGTTAAATTTAAAGCATGTAGAGACATCCCCAGAGGCAATCTCAATGCTTCCACCGCTCAGATACATCACCGATTCTCAATTTCATCACTTCCTAGTTCTGATAATCATGCCGCACCTAGAAATTATCACCACCCACGAACACCAACCACTTATACTCCCCGGTTTCCTATTTAAGCAATAGCTCGATATGGAAATTTTTAAACAATCAATAACATCTTCAATGGTAACCCCTGAAATGATCACCCCTGAGATCCATCACGCTTCCCACTCTCAGCACAGGCTTGTCATATTATCTATGCCGCAGCTAGAAAACATCACCAATAACAATTCCACGAACACCAACCATATATATTCCTGGATTTCCTGATTCCAGTACTAGCTAGTTTTGAGTATCGCAAAGTATCCAGAAAAACTCCAATAGTGACCTCCTGAAATATTCACCGCTTTGATTCATTTCAGATTTCGCACTTTTAGCTGTAGCTAGTTATAGTATCTATGCCGCACCTAGAAAACATCACCAATAACAATTCCACGAGCACCAACCACTTATATTGCTGAATTTCCCATTTTAACAATAGTTAGATATTGTAATTTTGAAGCCTCTGAAAAATCTCCACTGGTAACCTCCTGAAATAATCACCGCTCAGATTCAGCACCGATTCCTGATTCCATCACTAGCCAGTTATAGTATCTATGCCGCACCTAGAAATCATCACTAATAACAATTCCACGAACACCAACCATATATATTCCTAGCTTTCCTATTTCCAGCTCCAACTAATTCTGATTAACTCAAAACAAATTTCTCTCCAACAAAATTCCCGAAACATTCCCCAGACCCGTCACCCATCCCCTCTCTCCACCTGCCCAGCCAGGGCCAGCGTGGCCCCGGCCGCCAGGGCCTGGCGCCGCGCGCGCCGGCCCTAAACTTCCAAAGCCAGGCCCCACCCACCCCAGCGCACCCGGCCCAACCCGCCCCAGCCTTTTTCCCCGTCCCCTGGCCATGACCCACGCGTTCGCCGGGCCCTCCACGGACCTCGACTACTGCCTCGAGCAGCTCCTCGAGCGGCGGCCGCCGCGCCTCCTCCCCGAGGAAACCGTGCACGCGCTCTGCCAGCAGCTCAAGAGCCAGCTCTTGGGCGCCCCCAACATCCTCCTGCTCCGGCTGCCGTGCACCGTGGTGGGCGACATCCACGGGCAGTACCACGACCTCCTCGAGGTGTTCCGCATCGGCGGCGCGCCGCCCAGCACCAACTTCGTGTTCTTGGGCGACTACGTGGACCGCGGCTACTACTCCGTGGAGACCATGACGCTCTTGGTGGCGCTCAAGCTCCGGTACCCCGAGCGGGTGGCGCTCATCCGGGGCAACCACTAGTCGCGCACCATCACCACCAACTACGGCTTCTACACGGAGATCCTCCACAAGTACGGCGGCTCGCTCAAGGTGTGGCACCACTTCACGGAGCTCTTCGACTTCCTCCCGCTCGGCGCCACCATCGACGGGCGGATCTTCGCCACGCACGGCGGGCTCCTGCCGCTGTGCCAGCAGCTCGACCAGATCCGCGTCGTGGACCGCTTCAAGGAGATCCCGCACGACGGCATCATGGCCGACTTGGTGTGGCTGGACCCGGACCCGGACATCGCGGACTTCCAGCTCCTGCCGCGCGGCGCGGGCTACTTGTTTGGCCGCGAGGTCGTCACCAAGTTCTGCCACGACAACGGCTTGGTGCAGCTCGTGCGCGCGCACCAGCTCTGCCACGAGGGCTTCATCAGCTACTGGCAGGGCAAGTGCCTCACCATCTGGTCCGCGCCCAACTACTGCTACCGCTGCGGCAACCTGGCCAGCGTACTTGAGATCAGCCACTCCAGCTACGAGAGCCGCGCTGCCGGCCTGGGCCCGGGCCCGGCCTTTCTCCCGGGGCAGTTCTGCAACGTGTTCGACGCGTCGCCGGAGAACGCCCAGGACACCCTGGAGGGCCGCGGCGTCAACGGCGTGCAGGCCCCGGCCGGCCCGGACGACGTGTTCCGCGCCTACTTCGACGGCCGTTCCCGCGCCCGCCAGGTCGAGTACTTCTTGTAGGGCGTCGTTCGAGAGTGGCGGGCGTTTTCGCAATGGGGACGTTTTCGGACTGGCTGAGCTTTGTCGGAATTACTGAGTTTTTTCAGAATGACTGAGTTTTTTCTGAATGACTGAGCTTTGTTTGAATGACTGAGCTTTGTCTGAATGACTGAGCTTTGTCTGATTGACTGAGCTTTGTTTGAATAACTGAGCTTTTTAGAATGACTGAGCTCGTTAGAATGACTGAGCTCGTTAGAATGGCTGAGCTTGTTAGAATGGCTGAGCTTGTTAGAATGGCTGAGCTTTGTCTGAATGACTGAGCTTTCTCATAGATTGGCTGAGCGTTCTCAATGACTGAGCGTTCTCAGCATGGCTGAGGGCTCTTATAGAAAGGCGGAGCGTTCTCAGCATGGCTGGGCGTTCCCAGATTGACTGAGCTTTCCCATACATTGGCTGAGCTTTCTCAATGACTGAACGTTCTGAATGACTGAGCTTTGTTTGAATGATTGAGCTTTGTCGGAGTGGCCGAGCTTTGTCTGAATGACTGAGCTTTGTCTGAATGGCCGAGCGTCTCAGAATGACTGAGCTTGGTCTGAATGACTGAGCGTTCTCATAGAATGGCTGAGCTTTCCTGAGCTTTCTCTGAATGGCTGTGGGCTCTTATAGATTGACTGAGCCTCAGAATGACTGAGCGTTCTCATAGAATGGCTGAGCTTTCCTGAGCTTTCTCTGAATGGATGTGGGCTCTTATAGATTGACTGAGCCTCAGAATGACTGAGCGCCCCTTGAAACAGGGCCGAGCTAAGTGCACGCCCTGCAACACCTGTTGCTTATTGGCGCTGGCTCCCAGTGACACCCTCGGTCCCTGGACCCGGTGCGGAGGCCACTGAGCAATCCCACCTGGTTTCCTCCAGCGCGTGATGCGGCAAAACACCTCCCGGCCCCGAGACCCAGAAAGCACACAGCCCCAAAGCGGGCCATGGACTGGAAACCCCGTTCATCGGAGCCGCTCGTTTCTCACCGTGGCCCGCCGCAACCTGCGACTCGCAAGACCACCGGTTCAATTCTACAACTGTTTTACTACCTACACGAACGGGCGAGGGCCGGCTTCCCAGCATTGTATTCGACTATATACATCCTTCACGCACCACAACGCTCCGTGGCTCTCTTGGCTGAATGGGCCCCTGTAGCAGCACTCGAGATTCTGTAGAAGAACCCGAAGCTGGAGTTCCCCACATCAGGCAGTAGAACGCAAGATCCCGTGGTAAATCTCCATATCCTGAGGTGGAGTTCCCCATATCAAAGCTCGGACTTGCCCCATGCCCCTCCTACCCGTAGTAGAGCTCGAAGTTGAACCCACTGTGCACCTCGTAGTCGTCGAGAGTGATGTGGTCTTTATACGTCTGGTGGCCCTTCTTCAACACGAGCTTCTCCCACGACGTGCCCACCTGCAAGGAGATGATCTTCTTCAAGTCGCCAATCGTGTCGGAGGCGAGGCACTTGACCTTGATTTTCTTGCCGAGCCGGTCGTTTGCAAGAACCTCGATCATGCTGTGCTATTGGTGGCGGGCTTCGGTTTCGCAGATGCTAATATGGCCTCGTTCGCATTCGGAGCTTGGATGCTGGGCCGCGCTTTAGCACGCACTGCGCGATGGCCACGCAGGTCTGCGGCAATGGCATCTGCTGATGGTCTGGCCTTGGTTGCCAGCAAGAATGGGCAGCGGGCGTCTTTTTTTTTTTTGTGGCAGCTCAACGAGGACAGCAGAAACATGCAAATTAGTGGGCGCGGGGCTTATTGCGGCAAGCAAGGAAATCCAGCGACATTGGGACGATCTGGAAAGGGCACCCGTAGTGGTGCGCTACATCCCAAGATAAGGCAGCCGGCGCCCGATAGGACAGAACGATCGGCACTTCCCGGCTCGTCTTTTTTTTTTTCTTCTCATAAGACAACATCACGCGTGAAGAAAGAAAGAAAAAGGCAGCCTTCATGAAACACGCTGTTTGTGTGCTGTCGTCGGGAAACACCGCCAGCGGGCCCAATTAGAGCCCGGCTTATATGTCTCGCTTATCGCAGCGTTCTCTGCGCGCACCCGAATTTTCTTGCAGACTCAAACTCGTGGATCGCCAGCTCTGTTCTGTAGACTTGGGGACGCACCACGGCTTTCTCTCCGTGATTTTTTTCCCTTTGTTTCCAACCGTCTGCGTTTGTGGACACCACGACGTCACGTGCTGGAACCCGGCAGCCCCACTTCCCGTCCGATCCACCAGGGCCTCTCCAGCTGGGCTGATCACTGTGCTCGCTGGCTTATCGGCCATCCGAATCCCCATCCCGTCGCCGCAACTTGCCCCGATGCAACCTCGGAAATGGGCCCTCTAGCACTTCTGACTGCCGCCGTGTCCAACGCCACGCACCTGCTACCGGACGAGTTGCACGTGGTGCTGGCCGTGTCGCGGGCCTCGGGCATTCTCTCGTTGGTGGTGTGGCTTTTTGCGCAGCTCCCCCAGGTCTTGGAAAACTACGCCAACCAGTCCGTGGCCGGGATCTCCCCGGCGTTCCTCGCGTGCTGGATCAGCGGCGACGCCACCAACCTCGCCGGCTGCATCTTGACCCGGGCCCTCCCGTTCCAAACGTGTCTCGCCTTGTACTACTGCTTCATCGACGTCATCTTGGGCCTCCAGTTCTGGTACTACACGGCCGTGTATCCGCGCCAGCCCGTGCACCACAACATGCTCCAGAGCCCCAACATGATGCGGCCCGTCAGGTCCGCCGGGCCGGTGAAAAGCATGCTTCTGTCGCGGCTCAACCGCTTCGAGGCCTCGCCGCCTAAAGACAGGCTGGGCACGCACCGCTCGCGCTCGTCCCGCTCGCCCCGACGGCCGCGCCGGCCGCGCCGCAGCTTCTTGGACTTGGTGCTTTCTGCCTCGGCAATCAGCTCCACGTTCGGAAAGGCCAGTGCCCAGCCCATCGACGCCCCCGACGACCAGCGGCGCTTCCAGGACGCGCTTGTTCTGGTCTGCAACGCTGTGTGGGCGTGCGTGTCCAACTTGCACTACTCGTCTGCGCTTGTGGGCACCTGTAGCGGCTGGCTCAGCACGTGCTTGTACGTGAGCTCCCGCATGCCGCAGCTCGGGAAGAACTTCCGCTCCAAGTCCACGGCGGGCGTGTCGCCGCTCCTCTTTGTGTTTGCCATGACGGGCAACATCTTGTACACGGTGTCCATCGCGAGCGACCTCTATTTGTTGGCCAGATACGACCAGTACTTGGGCACCGCAGACTTCCACGCTGTTCTCCGCGCACAGATCCCCTTTCTCGTCGGCAGCACTGGCACCGTGGTGTTTGACGCCGCGATCTTGTTCCAGTTCTGGCTCTACAAGAAGTCTGCCCCGAGCCCGGCGCCGGGACCCCTGTCGCCGCGTGGTCTCCATGTGCTGGAGGCCTTGCCCAAGGAAGCCCACGCCGAGACGCAGCTACACTTCACGAAGCCCGACTGGTACACCAACAACTTCCAAGTTCCCGCATACGAAACCGGCTCTTCCTTCGACGAGCACCAGCGCGAGCCACGCGGCCTGGCCCGCTCGGACGAACGCACGCATCTCATCCACGATCCGTACATCGGCAGCCCGCCGCGCCACTACGTGGTCTCGTCCTCCCAGTTGAGCGTGGGGCCGCAGCAGCCCCAGCCGAGAAGAGGCTTGTCGGAGACGTTCAGTGCGCTTGCAAAGTCGGTGTCCAACTCGCCCATCGTGCGGACGCCGTCCGTGGCTTCTCCAGGCATCTTCGGGGCGCACGCCTCGCCCCCCGGCACCGCATTGCTACCCTCGTTGGTGGGCACGTACTCGTCGATCTCGAAGAAAATGGCGCACGACTCGAAGGTGCCGTTTCTGCCGATCGATTTCCTCCACGACGGCTTTTTGCATGGCAGCGCCAGTCTGGCAGACGACCTGCGGTACACGAGCACGCTCGCCCGCTATTAGTGTTGGAAGGTGCAGCAGAAACGCCGGGCCTCTACAGAAGAAAGAACATTGGCTGGGTGGGCCGCTTCGTGTATGACATAGAATACACAAATGACCAAGTCCAATCAGGCTTTATTCACCCGCCAAGCGGATTGGGGAAGTGCTTGCAAATGCATGACTCGCCGTTTGGCCCAGAACCAGATGAGGACGCCAAGCGAGATGCAGATGGTGCTGGTGTAGAAGTACCCATCACGCACGATGTGGACAGACGCGCCCGTTGCCAAGCACGACTGCTTCTCCTCGTCAGAATAGATGGGGTACACCGTGGTCGTGGACTGCACGTGGCACGTGGCCAAGGTGAACTTGTCGATCAAGTAGAATATGATCAACTTGGGCCACGTGCCACCGTAATTGGAAAGTGTGTTGAGTGCCGTCAAGTACGTGCCGCCGATGGCCGGGTCCGCAATCCTGGTGTGGAATGCGCAGAGCGAAACAAACTGGATGGTCGACATGAACGACCCGAGCAAGTGCTGCACGATGATGACAAGAAACAATCTGTACGGCACCTCGCCGTTCTCGATCTTGGGGAAGTAGTAGAGAATCAAGTGGGCCCAGAGAGCCGCGAACAAGCGGCCGGCGAAGCCGATCAACCACGGCTTCAAGGGGCTTTTCCCCGACGACCAGCGGCCGGCATAGTAGCCGAAGATCATCTCGAAGGGGAAGTCAATCAACACGGTGATGGAGAGGTCCTCTTTGGTGAGGCCCTTCTCCAAAAGCTTGAGGTTGGTGGCGGCCTCGTTGACCTGGAACCCGAGCTTGGCCAACAACAAAATCACCATCAACGTCTGCACATTGGGGAGCTTGAACACGGCAATCATCGACACGTACACCGTCTTCAACTCCTGCCAGTACTTGGGCGCCAGGGCCGTGTACCGATTGTGGTGGTCTTCGTTCTTGTAGTGCTCCATGGAGTGCTTCTCGCTGTTCCGCGTGCGCAAGTGGGACGGCTCCTCGGGGATGAAGAACATCACCACGGTCACAATCAAGTACATCCACCCCCAGAACGAGAGGTAGCTGCCCAAGTCGAAGAGGCCCTCTTCGAGCGGAGTGCTGCGCAAGTATTTGTTGGCGAACTCGGGGGAGCTGAGTGCCAAGAACACCGTGAAGCTGGAGAAGTAGCCGCAGTTCATGCCGATGGTCTGCGCCGTGGACGCGAACGACAAGCTTTCGGGCGAGAGACACGTCAAGGCCCAGCCATCAACGGCTATATCCTGCGTGGCGCAGAGAAACACCAACAGGAAGAAGCAGAACGTGATTGTCTGCAAATGCGAGGCCGGGTCCGCCATGAACTTGTCGATGACCAGCCCCAAGTATAGAAGCGTGAGCCCCGAAACCAGCTGCACGGGCAAGATCCACGACTTGCGCCGCCCGATGTTTTTGCTGTATATCGCGTCCACGATGGGCGACCAGAGGAGCTTGAGCGAGTACGGGTACGAGGCCAACGAGAACACGCCGACCTGCGAATACGAGAGCTTGGACTTCAAGATGAACGGCACCGAGCCGAACGCTAGCCCCACCGGCACGCCCTGGAGCGTGTACAAGAGAATCAAGACTACGAAGTTCAAGTAGTCTTTCCGCGGGAGCACCACTGTTTTAGCCGCCTGTTTCTTTGGCGCCATGTGGGGCGCCGTCACGGGGAGCAACCCGTCGTTTTCCTCGTCGAAAGCCATGTGTCCCACGGGCGTATGGGCCACCAGAACGCGGGGTTTTTCGCTCATTTCAGGCCACGGGTCGTCGTGTGGCTCGGCGATGCTCTGCCGCTTGTGCACGTCCATTTTCTATGGATCCGTGTGTGTGTTTTTCAGGTATAAGGAGGGACAAATCAACGCAGTAGTCTGGGCGTGCGTCTTGTGCGGATGGTCAGTGGGCCACAGCAGGGGCAAATAATTTGAAGCAAGGGCGAGTAGTTGAAGCAGGGCAGAATTGAGTGCTTGGGCTCAATTGGGGTTTGATTCTTTTGTTTTTTTGGTGTTTCCACGCTGCCTGGCTGAGTGCTAAGAGGCTGTGGAGTATTGAATGGATCAACGCCTTTTGGTGCGGGTGAGGCTGAAGAACGCCGCAGGGCCTGGGCCGCGTCGACAGGAAGTAGAACAAAAAACGAGAAAAAAATAAATATGAGAAAAGAAAAAGCGAACAGGTGCCGGCAGCGTCGATCGGGGCGGGCCCACGACATATACGGGATGCCGTCACGGGCGGCGGGACTAGCACACATGTATTCTATTGATATATTGTCGAACGATGGTGGAGCGGCGTGCGTACGTGCAGGCCGCCCGGAAACCAGATCATACCCTTACAACCCCAAAACCTTTCTGGAAGCTCTCAACACCACGTCGGCGTCAGGGAACGCAAAGTCCTCCAACTCCTTGGCGTAAGGGGTGGGCACCTCGCATCCGGTGACTCTCTCGACAGGCGAGTCCAAGTAGTCGAAGGCCTCGGACTCCATGATCTGGGCGCAGATCTCGGAACCAACGCCAAAGGCAGGGAACCCAGCCTCGACGGTGACCAAGTGGCCGGTCTTCTTGACGGACTGCACAATCGCAGGTACGTCCAAAGGCTTGATGGAGCGCAAGTTGATGACCTCGGCGGCGACGCCGTATTGCTTGTCCAAGATCTCCGCAGCCTGGAGACAGTGCATGACGTTTCTGGTGTGCGACACCAAGGTGATGTCGGCACCCTCTCTCTCGATCTTGGCCTTGCCGAAGGGGATCACGTAGTCCGTGGACAAGGCCTCCTCGGAGACCTCGAAGGACTCACCGTAAGACATCTCGTTCTCCAAAAACACCACGGGGTTGGGGTCTCTGACCGCAGCCTTGAACAAGCCTCTGTAGTCCTCCGCAGAGTATGGCGACACGACCTTCAAGCCGGGGATGGAGCCGTACCACGCGGCGTAGCACTGCGAGTGCTGTGCGGCTACGCCGGCCGCGGCACCGTTGGGGCCTCTGAAGGTGATGTTGCAAGGCTGGATGCCTCCGGACATGTACAAGGTCTTGGCGGCGGAGTTGATGATGTGGTCGATGGATTGCATGGCGAAGTTGAACGTCATGAACTCACACACGGGCTTCAAGCCGGCCAACGCAGCGCCGACGGTCAAGCCGGTGAACCCCATCTCCGTGATGGGCGTGTCAATGACTCTGCGCTCGCCGAAACGGTCGAGAAGCCCACGCGACACCTTGTAAGCACCGTTGTACTGGGCCACCTCCTCGCCCATGAGGAACACGTCGTCGTCGCGGTCCAACTCCTCGGCGATGGCCGAGTTCAAGGCGTCTCTGACGGTCATGGTCTTGGCGCCCGAGCTGCCGGAGGCCATTCTCATCGACGACGCGGCCTGTGCGCGGGCGGCCATAAGGGAAGTCTTGGCGACACTGGACAATCTGGACATGATGTGCGGTGTGGCGGTTTGTTTTTGTGTGGGTTTTCCTTGCTGGAGGCGTAGGTTTGTTGTGGGCCGAAGAGCGAAAACCGACCGCGGGCCGCAACACGCACCCAGATCTGCGACGGAACGATGAGGACCGGGTAGGCGTGGTGCGCGCGGAGGTACAGATCCGAGCAGCGGGGGGCGAATGCACTGGTGCATTTTTTTGGTGGGCCGCGAGGCTGGCTCTGGGCTCCCCCTTATTCCCGGATGCACGGGTGCACGGGGCAGGAAGAAGGGGCACGGTGCTGTGCCAGCAAATGGGACGTCGGTCTATCTTGGCAATTTTGGGAGTGGGCGGGTGTTTTTGTAAGCCTCTTGAGTTGTTTGTGTGTTTGTGTTTGCCATCTCCTGGGTTTGATGCATTTATTCCGGGGTGTTATTAAGTGTTGAGTTGCCATTTTCTTTCCCGCGTGGTGTTTTTGGGGGAAAAAACAAAGGCTGTCATTCGTGGCCCAACTCGAAGACTGGACCTTCATGAAAAATGAAATACAGAGAAACCGCTTATAGCAGCAAACTGGACTGATCCGACATTGAGCTCTGTCGTGGTGATTATCCCTGTTTAGTTTTTAGCATGGAAAACCCGCTCCGTGTGTTTCCGACTGTATTATGCTGCCACACAATTTGCGGCCTCGCGGTAGCCCTTTGATAGCCGCCCAGTAGACAGCCACAATCATATACCCTTAAGGCCATACAAAGAATGAGGCGCTAGAAACAGCGGGCCAAGCTGCTGTGTCTAGCTATGCTCTTTTCTGTATCCGCTTCTTGACAGCTCTTTTGCGCCCGTCCCAATAATTCCCTTACAAAGCACTTGAACACAGACGATCAAGGAAGAAGTTCACGCAAATGACCGATTTCACCAAAATTGCTCTATATTCAAAAAAGTGGAAGAAGTGAGCGAAGATTGCAAGACCAGCGGCAGAGAGAGAAAGAGAAAGAGCGCATTCATTCATGGCGCGCCTATAAGAAAACAATACCCAGGCGCATCCAGAAAAACTTTGGCCCAATTTGAGTTGTGAAACCCACCTGCTCGAATTAGAAACGTCTTCCACACCAGCTAAGTGTCTACAGATTCTGCGAACCTTGAAGGATAACGCTAGTGGATCTAGGTTCGTGTGAGCTACCCGTTGGCTGCAAAATGTGCCTATATGAAGGGCACTTAAACAAGCCATTGATGGCGGGGCAAAACCTAGCCAGAAACCAAGCTCTTCTATGCCGCACCGTTTTTGCAGCTGAAAGAATAAATAAATTCTAGTTCAACTCTACGCTTTTACCAACTGCCTGGCCGGTGAGGGATGAAAATAACATTCCTAAAATAAGTCCATGACGAAGTCAGAAATTAAAGGGCTACTGCCGCATCTCAGATGTTAGCCAAAGTATGAGCTCTTTCCTCCAACTCGTTGTTGTAGTTGGCCGAATATTCGAATGCATTAATGGTGCGTTATGCGAGGAATACCGTGGAAACACCTAATTTGCCCAGAGAGCTAAGAATGACGGTGAGCTAGCTTTTCCGACACCTTTCTAAATGATATCTATTACGTTTGCACGTGAAGTTGTTTGTTTGTCTACTCGCTCGATGTTGGGTGATAGGCTCTAACTGCGATCGCAACCACGAAAATAAAGGACCAACAAATGTGAGAGTTTGAATCAAACAATAAAGCTGCTCTTCGAGCAGACTTAGCTCCATTATCATTCCCGCCATACCGCCCTCATACATACATAAGCTAATTGCGGCAGCAGCTTGCTTTCTAGGTGCATCAGCGCTCTCTCTACAGCTTCATGGAAAAAGGGGCCAACTTTAAGTCATTTTTTATTTAAAACGAGCATCAATCTTGTTTTTGTCGCAGAAACAATTGGGATCAAAAGCGAGATATCTGCTGCAAGCCAATTCATAATATCGAGTCCTTATGAGGCAGAGTGGACCAGTTCAGCTCTAGGTCTTTAGTTGTTGCTAGGTCTTTAGTTGTTGCCATGTGATCAGCATCAGGACATATGTTAGCTGTATCAGGCACCCGCATCGGATGGAATGAATAAAATCATTTGCCCGTCAAGATGGTACCGCAATTGAAGTTTTATGCAACCACAATTAAGCTTCCATGATTCCGCAATGATGCTTTTTAGATCACCACTTGGATAAAAACGCATTATTTTGGTGCCCAAAATCTGCAACATAGCCTTTCATTTTGGGATATAGCAGTCATTTTCGACACTTCTAAAATTCTGAACAGGTGATTATTACATGCGTGTCCATTCATACCTCTTGCCGGAAGGGTTTTGAGCGTCGTCGCATCGACCGGTTCAATGAAAAGCGAGCTTTTCTATAGAAACCTCAAAAAGGGGAAAGGAAACCTAAAAGCCGAATTGTCAAGAAAAAGACCTACACATTTCTGCTCAAAATTAAAGAAAACATTTGCTAGAGAAGACTCAAGTGTTAAAACCATCTGAAAATGAAAAAGAATAGCCAAGGATGGGAACCGAAAATAGACTACAGAGTAGACAACAAAAAAGAATTGCCAGAGACAACAATAAAACAACGACTCTGCACTTCTTGATATCCAAACAATAGCCCAAGAACTTAAACTTCTGCTCGCATCGTCTCTGGCTTCGCTTTCGCGACAATGTGGTCGTGTCCCATTTACATGTCTTTCTGCTGACGTTGATTTTGTTACAACTCAGAACAGCCTGGAATGTTACATATAGGTGCAGGATTATGCAGGGCTCGAGGTACTGACTAAAAACTGACGTTGCTCTGAATTCTGGCCACTGGCACCAACATTCTGAAGAAAAAGTTGTATTGATTGATGGGCAGTATAGCTGCCGATATTTATCCTACTCAGCTCATGCAGCACTTACAAAATGGCCATGATCTCAGGAGTTCTGAGCTATATGGGTTATGTCTTGCTTATTTTCATCAAGTTTTGTTTCGTTCCAAATTCGGGTAGGACCTTGGTGGCTGGCTGACTTCTTGCATATCAGGCGCACGGAAGGACGTAAGATAATGTGCAGATGGACAGAAGCTTTGAGTCTAGACCTGCCCTCTTTACTATTATTTATGTTCTTGGTGGTTATATTCATCTGACGAAGGACAGCTGACACGATTTTATATTATTTTAACGTGTGCTTTCTACGATCTGCAGTTTCGCGTTGGTTGAATATATTGTAGTTGCCCATGCCGATTGTAGAGGCGTCTCCGGTGCCACCGCCTATTTAGGTACACACCTGCTACATCGAAACAAGTGACAAGGGCCAATTGTGAGTACTTCTTTCAGCGGAAGCTGGGCTGAAGAGATTATCTCTTGAAGAGCCTGGTCACTATGCGCGTATAATATTTTGATGCTACGTGAGATTTGTCCAGGGCTAATGATATGCTGTCTGGGGGTGCTCAAGGTAAGTGGTGCGGCATCAATAACCTAAAGCACATCACAGATTGTATGGAGAGTGAGGATTATCAGCGATACAGCCAAATATGAATGTAGCCGCTAGTGTGCGAGACAGTAGAAAAATACAGAGCCAGCGATCTCCAAAGGTCCTTGATACTTTGCCATAATTAGATAAGTTTGTTCAGGTACAGCTCTGAGTATGACAGGCCCTCGCAGCAACAATTATACACATGAGATGTTTTATCAAGACCGCATCCAAAGAGCACGTTTAAGAAGGATGAAGAGAAACACAGTATAGCAAGACCAAACCATGCTTATACAATTAAATACCCATATATTATTCGAAAAAGGTTCTGTAGGAAGGAATATGTAAACAGAATTGTTTGCTCGTAATTAAGCTGTTGTGTTTCTGCCGAAAAAAACGGTAAATCTCTGAAAGCTTCAAAAAAGCTGTTTATTGCTAACAAAAAGGCATTCCCCAAGATTCTTAAAAAATGTTTGCAAAATGATCTCTATCAGGAATGCCTGGAGAAATATTTAGACTGATTAGAGGTGTACCGTCCCACAGGATGAACGCATAATCATCTCCGAAGATACGGCTACCCGTTTCCTGAAATCGCCTCACCCCCATTCAAGGTGCAGATGACCTTCTGTGAAAAGCCAATTTGGTGGTTTTCAAAGATTTGTGACAATACTTCTTCCAGTAGAGGGACTGAAGCTGTGATCTTACCTGTCTCTTTTTGTCGTGTAAGACTTCAAAACTTCAAAACATATAACTTGATTGTACGTTGAAGCTTAAGCAATGTGAGATATATTTAAACATAGGTTTAATATCATTCTTCAAGTACACATGAGGCATTTTTGAGTCTAATAATGCATCCAATGTTTGTGATTAAAAGACAAACCAAAGGGAAAAAACTTTCAACCAGCTCCAGGAATCTACCTTTTTTGGCGGCTTAATCCGATTAAGGGAACAAACCTATGAAATATAATGTAAGATCCACACACGTACCTGGTGTGACCCGTACTTTTCTGTTATTTCAAGCCTGGGCGGTTCTCTTGGCACATATTGGATATCACCTAATTGATTCCCAAGATAAGTCCCCTCTTTTTTGTTAGATTCATCTGATTATAAGAGCAAAAGTATGTATTGTTTTGGTAAATTCATCTGACTAATGAGGCAAAAAATATGAATAATATATATAAAAATGCTTTAAATCGCCCCCTGATACGTACTAAGTGTCGAAACTCGGCCCGTTCCCTTCCGTTAGTCACGGCCTGGACAGTCCTCATGGCCCGTATCTGTTTCCGTGTCAGATATTACGTCATCGACTCCTAAGATAGGTCTCCAGTAGTAGTCGCTTCAACTCAGATGGTTATAGCGGACTAAAGGAGCCCACTTCCGACGACTCGCCACGCCTTCTGGTGTAGATCTTGAAAATCGTGGTGACGAACCAATTTAATGTTGTTAAGTACTCCTTTTTTTTTTTGGTTAGATTCATCTGATTAAAGGGGCAAAACTATATAACGAATATATATAAAAAACCCTTAAACAGCTCCCAGCTACGTACCAAGTGTCTTAGCTCGGCCCGTCCCCTTCCGAAGGAGTTGTCGGCTTTAAATAGCCCCCCAAGCAGGCGCAAAAAAGTGACACTTTAAACTAAAATTATATTTAAAAACAAATCCAGTTCAAAACATACATCAGTACATAAGTAAACTCAACGATTCTAGTTTATCTGAAAATACTAGACCGCAATTGTTTCATTGAAGCCTTTATGGCCAAGTTGGTAAGCCACCTCACTAGTAATGAGGAGATCGTCAGTTCGAATCTGGCTGAAGGCATATTTTTATTTTGGGAAGTTTGGCTTTCCTTGCTACTTTTTAATCGAAGTACATACACAAGAGTTAAGAAAAGTATAGTCGCAAGAGCTACATTTGTCTAAGCAAAGACCAATTTTGTCGAATTGTTTGATTTTGGTGCGCAAGTTAATTTGAGATAGGTTTCGTGGACTAAGTGGAGAAGACTGAACATAAACAATAAAAACGCCTCGAGTTTCCGCGGAATTCTCATTCGCAGCAGTATAGGCGAGACGCATACAGTAATGCCCCAAAGATTATTGAAGCTTGAATTCGATTGTTCTATGTTAAGACCCGTTAGCCGCTTTAGCCGCAAAGAGAATTGGTCAAAAACCACTGTCACAATCAATGTCGTCTAGTAGATAGCACATGTGCCGTATACCACTGATGGAGACCTTTTTATTTAATCATTCGAGTGCTTCAGTCATGATCGATATTTGTGATGCTCTTTGCTGTGATTACTAAAGAAAATGGTATTTTAAAATTCTATCGGCCGTTTGGCTCCCAATAGCTTTTTCTTGATTGATACTGGCCCCACTAGATTGTTCTAGTTCTTCTGACACACATAAGTACACCAGGTTATTGTTAGAACCACCCAATTTTTAGAATTTAGACGATTCAGCTGAAGGTCAACTTATATTAAATATTATTGCATACAAGCTGGTACAACAATATGGTTGCAAATTACAATGAAAGAGTCAAGTAGAGACGAATGGTTTTCGTTTCATGCATTCTACCACACGCCGAAATTCATATTGATAACCAATCTCAAGGAGATATTCATTTATGTTTCAAGACAAATCTGACTATATAAAGAAGAAGTTTTCACTTTGTTTGCTCATTCAATATTAAAACAAACATCTTGCAACAATATGAAGCTACTCACATCAATCACTCTTCTCACTTTGGTCATTACTGAAGTAGTACTAGCAAACGGATACTTCTACATAAAAAACGCTGACAGTAATAAAGAGATAGATACGCCATAAGTTTCCGGTTTGAACAAAGTCGTTGCAAGTACCCGTGAATTCTACTTCAATGTAGACAACGGGATCTATAGTGCTGTGCAAAAGGCATACTTGCGAGTCGAAAATAACACACTCACCTTGGGTGAAAGGGATCAAAATCTCACGATCAGCGTGCCTGAGAGTATCGATCGCCCACTTTTGAAAATGAGAGGTAGTGAAACCTTTTATGTCTGTGCAGACAGAAGAATCCGCACCAACGCCATTTGCAAAGATGCAGAGAGGGTTCATATCTCTTATATAGCGGAGTAGTATAGCCCACACATATCACTACTGGGCCTGTATGCGACAAAATGACAAGCTAGCATTGGTCTGTTCGAATGTCAGTTAGTATTTCTTCAATAAACACAAATCTTCAAAATAATGATTGCCCCCAGGAAGGAGAACTTAAAAGATAGCAAGACACAAAGACCTATTGAGCTTTCGGAGCAGATCGTGTGGCTACAGAAGATCCAATATTTTGCAAAATCACCCAAACTCAAAAATAGGAAGTTTTTGTCGCATAATGGGAGGATTCCGTTTCGTTACTAGCTGTAGCACTGCGTATTAGCTGAGAGTTCCAAATTATCTATGAGTCAGTGTCATCAACCTAATTATGTCTGAACTGACTAATTAACCGAGTTGACCTGATAGAAGCTGCGTTTAGGATTCGTGTCATACTAATTGAGACCAATTATAATGATGTGCTGTACTTCAGAAATTGCCCAAGTATATGCAGATAAGCTCACGAGTTTGAATCTGATGGGAACGCGATATACTGGTGTATGATATTAAATTGAAGAACACCAGAAAGATATATGCTAGTACACCGAAGGGGCCCAACTTAGTGTATCAAAACTGCCTTGCTTTCTCCATACCTCTTTACTTTATTTTCAAAAGCTTCATTTGCAACTAGGGATTCCCATGTTACGGCTGCATTCGAACCTGATGTCACGTGACCACCGGTCACGAGGAACTTCTGGCGACAATGGTATCACATCCACATATAACATTGCACTGTTCTTTTCCAGCAGGACTGTCTAAGAATGAGCTGAGATTTGTGATGTGTGTGCTCTCTTTTTTGGGCTCGTGTGGCCGTGGTTATTCCCCGCCTACAAGAAACCAACATGTTCGCACACGTTGAGCCAAGGCTGTACCCATTTCATGTTAGCAGTCAAATGCCGAAAACAATCTGCAAGTTATCACAGGCTTTTACTTTCTCGAGTGCTTTCTTCTAGAAAGCAAAGCAATTCTTTTATGGGAAGCAGATTCGGCCAGATTAGATTGCACTCTAATGCTAGCACTTGTTGGCAATAGCTACTATAACCCAGCCAGTGGAGTCACACAAACCTCGTGGCCAATACAAAGTTCTGCCGCGGGGAAATCAAACTCTAACAGTTCCCCTCCTTTTCCTGAGAGTGCATGTTTTTGCAATCGATGGTTTTTTTCAAAAACCGGCAACTCTTTCCCATTTTCAAACATCGTCTTCAATGCACACTCCGTTGCTCGCTTATCAGGCCCTGGAAACGCCGGCCCAACATTTGGGACCCGAAAAGCCCCGGGGCCCTATCGCCCAGTCGCACCCCGCCCATCTCGCCTGGTCACACCCGTGCACCTGCGATCCGCGCGGCCCTATCTTATAAACCTCAGCCAAACCAGGCAATGTACTCCTCTTGTTTTCTTACAAACTTCACATATCCTGCGATCCTGCTTTCACCCTCAACCACAATTTTATAGTATCCTCTCCACAATGCTGTTTGTCAGGACTTTCTCGCAGAGGGTGCCACGGGTTGCGCGCTCTGCCACAAAAACCACAGGCCCCTCCCCCTTATTTAGCCGCGCTCTATTAGCCGCCGGCGGCAGAAATTACAACACCTCACAAAACGAGCCCACGACCCCTGACGCGGACGCCAGCGCCACGGTGAACGCCGAGCAGCGTGACAATCTGGTCATGGCCCCCGTGGCCACGTGGTTGGACGCGTTGACGGAACGGTCCAAGCAGTTGAAGGACGGCAAGACCTTGGACTCGTACAGCTACATGAACCCAAAAACTACCAAGGTTTCCGAGAGAACACGCAGCGAGTCGTTCTCGTACGTGGCTCTCCCGTTCAAGGACGACAAGTGGCTTTGTGACTCGTACATCAACGCGTTTGGCCGCTTGCGCGTGGGCCAGATGTTCCAGGACTTAGACGCGTTGGCCGGCCGCATTGCCTACAAGCACTGTGCCCCCGCGGAACCCGTGAACGTGACCGCGTCGGTTGATCGCATTCTCATGTTGCGGAAGGTGGACGAGATCCAGAACTACAACTTCGTGTTGGCCGGTGCGGTTTCGTGGACAGGCCGCTCGTCCATGGAGATCACCGTCAAGGGTTACGCGTTCGAGGACCTGGTGCCTACCGAGTTCACCGAGGCAGACTTGCCCTCGGACAAGGTGTTCTTGACCGCCAACTTCACCTTCGTTGCGAGGAACCCATTGACACACAAGTCCTTTGCCATCAACCGCTTGCTCCCCGTCAGCGAGCAGGAGTGGATCGACTACAGACGGGCAGAGTCCTACAACGCCAAAAAGAAGTTGGCTGCCAAGAACAGCTCCATCATTGAGCCCAGCGACGAAGAAACCCGCCTCGTGCACGACATGTGGAAAGCGTCCAAGCAGCTTGGCGCGCCAAGTGAAAACCTCAAGCTCATGAAGAACTCGAAGTTCACCTCCACGTTGTTCATGCAGCCCCAGTACCGGAACAGGCACTCGTACATGATTTTTGGTGGCTACCTCTTGCGTCAGGCTTTCGAGTTGGCGTACTGCGCCGCCGCCGCGTTCACCTCCGCGGGTCCACGGTTCGTTTCCTTGGACTCCACAACATTCAAAGCCCCTGTTCCGGTCGGCTCTGTCTTGTCCATGGACGCCTCGGTCTCATACACCGAGCACTTGCTGGACAGCACCAGCGCCTCCAAGCTGAAGTCGCCTTTTAACTTGCCTCCCACAAACAAGATCTCGAAAAATCCTGAAGCATTCTTGCTGGAGCCAGGCACCTTGGTCCAAGTAAAGGTGGATACTCACATCACGAATTTGGACTCGTCTGAGTCGAAGGAGTGTGGTTGTTTCATCTACTCGTTCTTCGTGCCGGGAAGCTCTAGCAAACACCCTCTTGCCTCGGTGGTTCCGCAGACTTATTCCGAGATGATGGACTATGTTGAGGGTAGAAGAAGAGCACACGACACTGCCAACTACGTCGATGCCATTTCTAGTTAGACCGTATGGAGCCTATCTTTTTCAACATCGCCAATCTATAGACTTAATTCCAAGTAATTTACCTCAAGCACTTGACGCATACCATGCTGCCTTTTAACTCTCCTTCGGGCCTTGACAGGGCCGAATGTACGTAGTTACGGTGACATTCCTTCATGTCGTTACAATGCCGATTTTGCTATTTTCGTATTCATTATTGCTTCACTAGTATACATTATATTATACGGCCAGAAAGAAAGAGGGCCGATTTTGCATTGAATTTGACATTTGCACAGAGCTCGCGTTGGCTTCATGACACAGTCAGTCACTATCTTCGAATATTTGGGCTTTGCCCGCCGGGTGGTCGACGTCCTGCTGGCGAGAAGAGTCACGGAGACTGGCTTTTCTCGTGAAATTGACGAGTTTGGCCTTACTTCCTTCTAGCGCGGTATCAGCGTCGGACTCTCGGAGAGACAATTCTGAGTAAACAGAAGTCCGGGCCAAGATGTTGGCATTTGAATAAGGGCTGCTTCGCTGACGGGGGTTGTCCTCCAAGAACGACTCGGTATCTGGCGAAGGTAATAGCGTGCCATCCAAGCTGGTGGACATGTTCTGCTCGACATCCCCCGTTGATGGCTGAGGGCTGTGGGGGTCATTGCTGGTGTTGAAGCTCGAGCCTAGAGACCCCGTCTGCAGCCCGAGGAACTTGGCTAGCAAGTTGTAGTCTGAGGACTCGGGCGTGCGAGCCATGTGATGGCTCTCTTCTTCCAGAATGTAATTGAGGCCGTTCTGGGTACCAGCGGGGTTGGGGTTGGATGGGGAGACGTGATCCGAGACGGATCCTGTCACGTTGCCATCGCTGTCCAACCTTTGGATGTTGCCCGAGCTCACGTCCCGCATTGCGCCCTCCAAGTCCGCACTTTTCCTGTTGAAGAAGCCGAGCGACAGGCTGGAGTTCCGGTTGGACGCGCTGTCGTCAACGAGCCGCACGGAAAAGAGCTGCTCCGTGGCGATGGTGCTCAGGGACATTTCCGACGCGTGCTTGTCTTGCAAGATCTTCTTCTTCATGGCATTCGAGTCGCTGGCCTCGTTGGCCCGCCAGGACATGATGGGTTTCTCGTGGGCGTCGGCGAAGAAGTCGTCGTCCGAGTCCACGTGCGTCACGCTGGAGAGCATCGAGAGGTTGTCGTTGTCGAGTTTCAAGGCGTTGAGTGCGCCCATCTGCACGGCCGTTTCCTCGTGGTCGTCGTTGCTGTTGATTCTGCCGAAGCCAGGCCCCGTGATCTCGGGCTTGCCGTCCGTGGCGGACTGGTTCTCGTCGTCGTGGCTCTTTCTGCGGCGGAAACAGCAGAAGAAGAACACGAGGAGCGCCGCGAGCAACGCGAGCAAGGGGAGGCCGATGGCCAAGCCCAAAACAAGCTTCTTGTGCGCGTCGCTGGACTTGCTGCTGGAAGACAAGCTGCCGTCGCTGGAAGCCAGGGCCGAGGAGCTCGGGGAAGTGGTGGTCGTGGCCGTGGCCGAGGAGCTGGTGGCCGAGGACGACAAAGACGACGAAGACGACAGCGCCAGGGACGTGCTGGAGAAGCCGGCCACACCAACCACGTCGAACGAGCGCAGGCCGTCGCCGAAATCGGAGGCGGCGTCCACGGTGACCTGGACCCGGGCGAAGTCCGCCGGCGCCTCGCCGTGGATGGTCAAGTTGGAGCTGTCGTACGCGAGCCACGAGGAGCCGTTGGCGAAGGACACGTCGATGGCCGTGGCGTCGAAGTCGGTGAAGTACGAGCGCAACAACTGGTACAGGAAGTACTCGCCGCGGGTGGCGTTCACGTCCGCTATGCTGTCGACGGTGAACACGGAGTCCAACGAGTCGAACAGGTAGGGCAACAGCACGGAGTCGCCGTAGACGTCCTGCACCACGACCGAGAAGTTCTGGACCAGCGACGCGTTGGGGAACGTGCCGCTCAAGGTGTACGTGTCCTCGTCGAACAGCACGTAGGCCGGCATGCCCGAGGCCGCCACGGCCGAGATGTTGTCTTTGGAGATGAGCGCGTCGTCCAAGTACACGGCGGAGAGCACGGGCACCGTGTAGGCGAACGCGGAGCCGTAGGTGCCGTTGATCTTGATGGACTCGTTGAGCGACGTGCTCAACAGATGTGCGCCCACGACGAGCTTGAACACGCCCTCGGCGCCCGCGTAGCCCCTGTAGTCGGACGCGATGAACGAGAACGCGTACTCGAGGGACGGCGCGATGTCCGACACCACGTACGGCACCTGGCCCGAGAACGTGAGCGAGGCCGCGTCGAAGGACACCCAGTTGGGGAGCGACGTGCGGTCCTCGGAGCGGCCGTAGTAGGCCACGACGGGCTGCGAGGCGTCCTCGTTCAACTGGAACACGCTCTCGGAAAACTGGAGCGAGAAGTCCTCGCCCTGCGCCACCACGAGCCCGTCCACGCCGTTGGTGTATCCGTACTGGGCGATTTCCGTGAACATCACGTCGGGGCTGGAGAGCGCGAGGCCGGAGCTGTTGGACACGAGCATGGAGTACGACGCGGAGTAGTTGGAGCGGTCGGCCGAGTCCGTGCCCACCAACGTGATGTCGAAAGTCTGCACGTCGGCCAGGGACGGCGTCCCCAGAAACGTGCGCGACAGCGGGTCGAACAGGAGCCACGCCGGAAGGCCGGCCACGCTGTACGCGATGGCCCCGCCGGCGCTGGACTTGTATGTGGTGTTGGCCAAAGTGAACAGATACGATTCGTCCACGCGGGCCACGTTGGGGAGCTGCTCGTTCATGGGCCAGCCCACGTAGACCGCCGAGACGCATGCCAAAAGTACCCACCAGAAATGCATTGTGGTGGTGGGAGAGGCGAGTGGTGAGACGCCTTTAGCCGCGGGCTTTGACCGGGATGGCTGGGTACGGAAGTCTGGCCGGAGTCTGCAGTTCCTCGGCAGAAGACTGGCGGAGGATTTAGACTGGCGGAGGACTCAGCAAATGCCCGAAAAGGATGTCTTTTCTGGGATTCGGGGGTCTCGGGGGAGGTCTATCCGTGAGATGTCGATACCTTGGATAGTGTGTTTCCGTGAGATGTCGATACCTTGGATAGTGTGTTTCCGTGAGATGTCGATACCTTGGATGGACTGTTTCCCGTGATTATATATCAATACCTTGGATGGACTGTTTCCGAGATTTCCGCTGATGAGGACTTCCACGAGATTCCAGCAGAACTATTTGAAACAGCCGTTCACGAAACTTCAACAAGTATTGAACAGAGACGTCAGCGAGTGTCTGCAACAAAAGTCCACAAAAGCACCGAGCTTGGCGTATAACTAGCTCCTTAACCAATCAAGCCTTGAAGAGCGTACAAGGTTGGACAAACGCCTAACAAACGCTTCACAAACGCTTCACAAACGCTTCACAAACGCTTCACAAACGCTTCACAAACGCCCTAAAAAACGCCAAACAAACGCTGGAACTATAGCCCCAGGCGTATCCAGCAGGCTGCAATCACACAGCAGCAACAAACGGAGAATGAAAAGAAAACGGCGCCTCTCAAATGGCTCGCAGATATGGTCGGTGTCAGAAGGCAAAGAAAAGAAGGGGCTTTGCCGGGTGAGAGAAGAGGTTGCGAACTAGAGAAGAAAACTCCCGGCTCCGTACAGGTGCGTCACTTTAGCTGCCAGCCTTGCCTGTTTGGGAATGGAGATTACGCACTAGCGCCTCTCCGAAGGAGACATAAATAGACGTGCCCAGTTTGCCGGGCCAGAGACGTGTTTCAAGTCGCGCCTCCGCGCCCCGTGTTTTGGTCCCCGCGCTCCAGGGCCGCGTGGCCCAAACAAAGAGTGCACATGGCGAGCGGCCCGGGCCATGAAGGGCCTTCAAGGGTGGGGCAAAAACAGCCAAAACAGGGCCTTTTGGAATTCAGAAAAAATCACTGTGCTCGGGCGAAGCTTGTGCAAACAGCAGTGGCTTTGGAATTTTTGTGAGGTGCCTGCGCGTGTGGTTTGCCGGGTGCCCTGGGTCTGGTCCTACAGTTATTGGCCCGCGCCAATCCAGGCCCGTCTCGCCAAACGCGCACCCCGCGTTTCAGGGCCATATTTCATGGGAAAACTTTAATAAGATATGGGTGGTCTGGGGCAAGGGCAGACGGAAGGCGGAAATAAGGGCCCACAGAAAGGCGTGTATTTTCTTCCTAGCGGCCGGCCGTCCTGAGGTTTGGCTACATGTTTTTTTTAATGAACTGCTTGGCTGATCTGGCGGATTTTTTGGATGTTTTTTGGTCATAGACGTTAATTTATTACTGTTCTCTCATTCTTTTCTGAAAGCTGGCCCTGGGCCGTATGTTTGTTGGTGCTCGCGCTCCCATGCGTCTAGGCACGGTGTTGACTTAAAGGGCCCGCGGTATGTGCAGGCATAATGGCTGGCTGCCTCGGGCCTTGTGTACAGGACCAATGGGGTCTACAGTGATCAGAAGACTGAACGGAAGCTTTGGCCAGAAGCACTTGGGGTGTGATTTCGAAACGCCGTCCAGTCTCGTGTAGGTAGTTCATTTATGGGACCACTGGCGCCAGGATGACGGCTTTGTGGTCCTTTCTTGGGTGTTTTGCGGAATTGCAATGCGCTGGGTTTCTTCCTATGCCTCGATGCTTTGCATGTACGTCTAATGCAATATTTAAAGCACCGTGTTGTCAAACGGACATCCGCAAAAGACCGATCAAGTTCTGGCATCTTGCGCTGTTTGCATTTTCAAAGCGTTGGGAGCGGCATTGTATTGTGTCTTGGAATCAATAATGGCTGCATCCTGTAGTGTCTTTTAGATAATGTTGCATCTTGTGCTACATCGTATCTCGTGCTCAGATCTGAGAATACAGTATTTGAATGTTATTGCATTTTGGATTGTACGGTGATTCTGGCAGTATCTGCGTTATAACGCAACGCTACTCAAACCTACATTGCAACTTCTGTATATCTAGTAGACTTTGAAAGTAGCATTGAAATGTAGTTTTATGCTCAAAGACAACAATCGGGTCTGGCCAGGGACAAGGGAATGAGGCTCCCCAAGCAATTAGCCAAATGTTCGGATTCAAATAGTCAAAATAGGTTTCATTGCAGGCCTTTGCCAACTGTCGTAAGAGAAGCTATTAAAAGCTTGCATCGAGATTTTTAGGTCCAGGACCGTCCAAACATTCTTCTGAGAGTGTCTCCATCTGGATACCCAAAGTCTTGGGCTTGTTCGAATCCGGCTCTGAACTGTCAACAAGTCAAACCATCGCATAGTATAGATATACTGTGCATCAATACGTCATCAGCTGTAAATGAACAGACTGCCTCAGAACTGGCTCGCAACTCCAGCTGAAACTCATGACGATACTGGACGCTTGCGTCCTTGATACTCCCATCTAGTCAGCCGCTGTGAGGTGCCGTTCGACATACTTTCGATAGAGTATATTCCAGAGCACATCATTGGGTATATAAACCTGCTTCTGTGGATGTTGCGTGTCCATTCCCTCGATATGCATACCCAAGGTATAATCGCAGAAAGCTGGATGAAATCCCCAGCCCATTCTGAGTGCTTCAGCCAGTGTCTAAGCTAAACTAAAACACTTGAGAGTGCTTGAAATGCCGTTGGACCGCCCCCGAAATCAAAGTGCACTAGAAATCATCGGGCGTATTCCCATGTATCAAGGGAGGAGAACCATAAGGCGTATTGCCGTGTTTCGAGGAAGGAGACCCATAAGGCTTCTCCAGCCAAATGGAAGAGAAAACGGAGGTGGTCACGGAGCCCCCCAGGCCACGGACTCACAAAAGCCCATGAACGAGGTCCATTAAGTGCATCGGTGTACCATCCTTCTTCATCCATCCAGTCGCATCTGATATGCTCGGGCCTATCACGCCTTTATTTACGGTGTCCGCCTTGCCCATCGTGGCGCGTAGTATACGGCCAAAACACCCAAATACCCGAAAACCAACCCCACGAGTTTCTCGGCTAATGAGTGGAAGTACATGTTAGTCACGAGCAACATGAACCACCATAGTGCGAGCAATAGCAACACCGGGGCATGAGGGGCCCTTGCCAAAAAGCGTCTGACACGCCCAGAAAGAGACGCGTCCCCGCTCGAGGAAAACAGATTTGCATTGGTGAAAAACTGGGCCCAGCCGGGCCAGAACTCTCGGACCTCATGGAACAAGTAGAGCGATGCATGCACCAAGAGGAACACGTGGCCCAGCGGATCGTGGCCACCTTCCCAAGACCCCTTCAATTTCCGGCAGCTGTACGAAGACACCGAAACAGACTCGTAGCCGGCCCCCGCCAAATAAAATTGCCTACTCAAGGCCCCGTCTAGTCCGGGCATGGCTGCCACTTTATGCGTGGGGATCAGCGCACATTTGCCGCCGGTGAGCAAGAAAACCTTGTCCATAATCGGGAGCCCAAAACACCACTGGGTGAAAAGAACCCACCAGAACGTGGCCACGGCCCATCGCAAAAACGCCACCAAGGCCAATTTGGCCCGGGCGTGCCGCGGGCGTCCCGGAATGGTGCAAGTGTAAAAAAGCACAATGGCCGCGGTGGTCCAGCCCCAGCCCCTTTTCACAAACCACTGGTTGAAAACGTTGCCCTTGTCGTTGTAGTAGTTGTAGATTTCTTCCTCCTGCGAAAACACGTGGAGAAGCTTCCCCACAATGAAGTTGACCACGAACGATAGATCAAACACCACCTCTGCCAACGATATGCCGTACTGGCTCAAGGCCTTGGATGCCCCTGCGATTTTGTCCGCATGGTCCTGGTACACGTTTTTGGGCACCGCCATGATATCAGTGGATGAGCTAGATGTATACTTCAAAAGTCGCAGTCTGGCCCTCGCAACTTGGGTGCGCACCGGGGCCTCGGAGCCATTCGGAATCACGATTTGAATGCACTTTGTAATTTCATTGACCACCGATCTCTTTTTTTCCGCACACGCCTCGAAGTATTGGCAGGATATACAGGGAATGTTTTGGGAATCTAGCCAAAAATCCCCGCTAAATGGCCTTGTAGGCAGATGCAGATCTGGGCGCGGATCCTGGCCCGAATCCTGGCCCTGGCCCTGGCCCCAGCATCTCCCTCAGGTTGCTGCATCTCTACATTGGGTGCCTCTATTCGCTGTACTTTTTTATTCGTGTCTGCTCTGAATTTGTCAGATGTACACACGCATCATGGAAATTCCATCGGGCTTTCGCCTCGGCGCTGGCGCCACCGAACTATGTATTATTGTGCTATTAGTAGACTGGGTTATTGGCAGAGAAAATAGACATGTGTTCAGCCCAGCTCCCCCAGTCTGGGCCCATTGGAACCGCCCTCCTTGGGCTCCGGGTCCCCGTCTTCGCCTGTCTGTTTCTTGGCGTCGTCGTCGGCATTGTCCTGCCGCAGCCACTTGTGGACCATGTCGTTCATCAACGTGTTCATGAAATCGGGCTTCACGATGTCCTTGCGGAAGCTCTCTTTTTGTAGTAGCGTGAGAATATGGAGGCAGTTTGGGTACACCAAGTACTTGGCGTATTTGGCGTCCTGCCAGTAGTTGAGGTACTCAAGATAGGCCAAGAAGGCGGGGTCAGAAAAGTACCCGTTTTGCGCTAGGAAGTTGACGTACTGGATGTTTGCCAACGACTGCACAAACTCCAACTCCACCTCCCATCGGCTCGGGAGATCTTCCATGGGAATCGAGATTGACGCTTGTCGGAGACTATGTATAGAAGAGGCAGGGCAAGATTCCGGGTATCTGATAAACGAGTTTCCCGGCTTGTTTTGGGGCCTGCTTGAAATGCAGGTCACTTAGGAAACCGGTGGAAAAGCTGTAGATAGGTGAAGAAAGTTGTAGTAAAGCGGTTGATAGCTTTGAAGTAGGGGATAGCTTTGAAGTAGGGGATAGCTTTGAAGTAGGGGATAGCTTTGAAGCAGGGGATAGCTATATGGCAGGTGATAGCTTTAGTACAGCAGTTAAAAAACGTCAAACGCCGTGAGAGGAGCTTTTAGCAGAGGCGTAAAAAGCCGTAGACAAGCCGTAGACAAACCGTAAAAAAAGCTGTAGAGAAGCTGTCGTAAAGCACTGAAAGGCTGTTTCGAATCCTGCTTGAAAACTTCAGAGCACCAGCAGGCCCGGGAAGCCTGATGAACGCGCGAGGCCTCGGCATGCGCGAGTCTCGTGCCCATGTCCCATATTAACACTAGTAAATACACACAAGAGCCCGCCTGTGACGTTGGCCTTTTGGCTTGAAATGGGTGTGTCTATCAAAAAAGCCTGTTTGTTTGCTGCTGCAATTTTCTGGCCCTTTTTCCCGCTGTTTTTCCCGTTTCGGTGCATTCTCAATCTACTTATTTCTGGGCCCGTCGCTCAGAGCCCTGCCCCGATCCCCAGGGCCACCCGGGCCTCTAGGGCCACCAGGCCCAGTGCCGCGCACAGCACCAATTCGGGGCCAAATACGCGTCTGGCCCCGCTAGTTCAACATAGGCTCTTCTCTATACTCGACGCCATTCGCCGTGCAAAGCCCTCTTTTTCTTCGAAAAAACGGCCCCAGCACCACGTCCTCGCGGCCTGCTCCAAACAGCTCCACTCACAGCGCCCAAGCTCCAGGAATGTCACGTGAGCTCGCCCTCCAGCACGAGTTGGAACATTTGAGGGCCCTCAACTCCACCGTCGATCTGCTTCTAGCTACCGTGAAGAAGGTCGGCACGGATGTCACGGTATCGAAAAAGGCCACCGACAATACCTCAGGACTACTAGAAGACTGGACCAAGATTTTGAACCAGACCAAGTTCGTGAATGCCGCTCTTCGAAACCCACAATGGAAGGGCAAATCAGAGGGGGAGTCCGACGAGGAAAACGGCACTGCTTTGCAGGAGCAGGAGCTTCTCGAAACGGAGTTGGCTTCCCTCGAGGCAGAAAACGAGCGGTTGGCGAAAAACGTGCACTCAGCCTCGCCGCCAAAAAAGGTCCTAAAACGAGCTCGCCGGTAGGTCCGGCAGCATTTTCGTCAGGATGCCCTTGATTGTATATTTAGTTCTCAAATAATGCCGGTTCATTGAGTGTTGCAGGTCACCCTTGGCAATTGCGCATGTTCACACACCTTCCAGTACTTTCTCAGATCACCTATTTTGTATGTTCTCGCATGTCCCCGTATCTACATGCTTGCCACTCACGCTGGTTTACTACGTCGGCTTCGTGTCAATTTCTCGACCATAGATCATTCAATTATTTATTAAGTTCTCAAATTTGTAACATATAACCACACTCTTACTTAAGGACACTGGTGAGCAAGTCTCCAGAGTCCACCGAGTCGCCCTCCTTGACCAAGATGTCGCCCACCTTGCCGCTCACAGGCGAGCTGATGATCATCTCCATCTTCATGGCACTCAACACGGCGATAGGGTCACCCTTCTTGACCTCTTGGTCCTTCTTGACGCGGGTCTCGATGATCACACCAGCCATAGGAGCACCCACATCATTTGGCTGCGAGGCCTTTGGTCTGGAGATGGTCTCCACAGACACCTTCTTGTCGTCCACAGTGACGGATCTCATCTCACCGTTCAACTCAAAGAACACCTCGCGAGTACCGGTGGCCTTGGAGATCTCGCCAACGGCCAACAACTTGATGATCAAGGTCTTACCTTGCTCAATGTCCACCACCATCTCCTCGCTGACGTCCAAGGGCTTCAAGAAGTAACGTGTTGGCAACACCGACAAGTCGCTGTACTTCTCCACCATGGCGCGGAACGCCTCGTAGACCTTAGGGTACATCACGTAGGACGCAATATCAGTCTCAGAGACTCTGTTGCCGTAACGAGACACCAACTCCTCTCTCACCTGAGCAAAGTCGATTGGCTTCAAGGTCAAGCCCGGTCTCAGGCTCAACTTAGGCCTCTTGTTGCCCAACATGTTGGTTCTCAAAGGCTCGGGGAAACCACCGTAAGGCGTACCCATCAAGCCCTCCATGAAGTCCAACACCGAGTCGGGGAAGTCCAACTCAGGCGCCAACTTCAACACGTCCTCCTCGGTCAAGTTGTTGGAAACCATGAACTGGGCCAAGTCGCCCACGACCTTGGAGGTGGGCGTGACCTTGACCACGTCTCCCAAAAGACGGTTCGCGACCTTGTAGTTCTCCTTGGTCAACAACCACTTCTCGCCCAAGCCCAATTGCTGGGCCTGGAAGATCAAGTTGGTCAACTGGCCACCAGGGATCTCGTGCTGGTACACCTCGGGGTCGGGGCCCTTCAAGTCGGCCTCGAAACACGAGTACAACAATCTCATCTGCGCCCAGTAGTTGTCCAACTCGCGGACCAAGTTTTCGTCCAAGCCGTGCTTCGTGTCGCCCTCGAAGGAAGCAATCAAGGCACTGATGGAAGGCTGCGAGGTCATACCAGACATGGCGTTGGATGCGGCGTCCACAACATCGGCTCCGGCCTTGGCGGCCGCGTCCATACTGGCCACACCAGTACCGGCGGAGTCGTGCGTGTGCACGTGGATAGGCAAGTCGGGGTACTTGGCTCTGATGGCACCCACCAAGAGCGCCGCGGCTCTGGGCTTCAACGTGCCGGCCATGTCCTTGATGCCCAAGAAGTGCGTGCCCATTTCGACGATTCTGTCCACCACAGACAAGTAGTACTCCAAGTTGTACTTCTTGCCGGCTTGCAACATGTCGCCGGAGTAGCACACAGTGGCCTCGATGACACCACCGGCCTTTCTCACGGCGTCGACTCCGACCTTCAACTGGTCCAAGTCGTTGAGCGCGTCGAACACGCGGAAAATGTCCACTCCATTGTCCTTGGCCTGCTTGACGAACTGGTCAATGGCGTTGTCGGGCAACGACGAGTAGGCCACACCGTTGGCACCCCTTAACAACATCTGGAAGGGGATGTTTGGCACCAACGCACGCAACTTTCTCAAGCGGTCCCAAGGGTCCTCGTGGAGGAAGCGCATGCTGACGTCGAACGTGGCTCCACCCCAGCACTCCAAAGAGAATGCACCGTTCAACGCGTAGGCGGTGGTGGGCGCGATGTTCAAGAGGTCGATGGTTCTGACACGTGTAGCCAACAACGACTGGTGCGCGTCTCTCCAAGTGGTGTCGGTGATCAAGGTGCCGTCGAAGTGGCGCACGCGCTTGGCAAACTCCGCAGGGCCGACCTCGAGGAGCACCTGTCTCCAGCCTCTGGGAGGCACGGGGGCGTCGACGTCGATGGCGGCGCCTGTCGTGGAGTCGTGCAACACGGGAATCAAGGCCTCGGTGGTGAGCTTGGGGAGGCCCATTTGGCCCTTGATGGACGAGCCGTTGACGGCCATGTCGCCGAGGTAGGACAACAACTTGGTGGCTCTGTTCTGCGAGCTCATCATCTGGAACAACGAGGGCGTGTCGTCGATGAACGTGGTCCAGCAGTCGCCCTTGATGAACGTCTCGTTGGTGAGCATGGCCAACAAGAACGGAATGTTGGTCTTGACGCCTCTGATACGGAACTCGATCAACGCACGCAACATCTTCCGGCGCGCAATCTCGTACGTGGACCCGGAGCACGAGCATTTGACCAACATGGAATCGTAGTGTGGCGAGATCACCGAGCCGGCAAAACCGTTGCCGCCGTCCAAGCGCACGCCGTTACCTCCGGCCGAACGGTACACCTCGATCTTACCGGTGTCCGGCTGGAAGTTCTTGGCGGGGTCCTCGGTGGTGATACGGCACTGGATGGCGAAACCACGCGTGGTGATCTTGTCCTGGAGCAAGCCCAACTGCTGCAAGGACGCGCCCGCGGCGATCTGGATCTGCGCCGCGACAATGTCCACGCCCGTGATCTCCTCGGTGATGGTGTGCTCCACCTGGATACGCGGGTTGATCTCGATGAAGTAGTGTCTGTTCTGCGTGTCCACCAAAAACTCGGCCGTGCCCGCGTTGCGGTAGTTGGCGGAGCGCGCCAACTTCACGGCGTCCGTCAAGATGGCGTCACGCACGGCCTTGGGCAAGTTCTTGGCGGGCGCAATCTCCACCACCTTCTGGTGTCTTCTCTGCACCGAACAGTCACGCTCGAACAAGTGGATCACGTTGCCGTAGCTGTCCGCAAGCAACTGCACCTCGATGTGCTTGGGCTTGTCCAAGAAGCGCTCAATGAAACACGTGCCGTTGCCGAACGCGGTCAAGGCCTCGGAGCGGGCGCGGGTGAACGCGTCCTCGATGTTGTCGCCCTCTCTGACGACACGCATACCGCGGCCACCACCGCCAAACGCGGCCTTGATGATCACGGGGTAGCCGTACTTCTCGACAAACGCCTTGGCCTCCTCCGTGGAGTCGATGGGGCCGGGCGTGCCGGGCACAACGGGCACGTCGTTGGCAATGGCCAACGTTCTGGCCGACACCTTGTCGCCGACCGCGTCGATGGTCTCGTGGGAAGGCCCGATCCACGCAATGCCGGCCTCCTCGACCTTGCGGGCGAAGGTGGAGTTCTCCGACAAGAAGCCGTAGCCCGGGTGGATCATGTTGACGTTGTGTTTCTTGGCGATGTTGATGATCTCGTCGATCTGCAAGTACGCCTGCACGGGCGAGTACTGGCCCTTCTTGCCGATCACGTACGACTCATCGGCCTTCAATCTGTGCATGGACAACCGGTCCTCGTGCGCGTAGATGGCCACGGTTTGCATGGACAACTCGTGGGCGGTTCTGAAGATCCGGATGGGGATCTCGCCACGGTTGGCCACGAGAATCTTGTTCATGGGGCCGAGCACCGTGGACTCGCGTCTCATTCTGTTGAGCTTGCCTTTCTCGCTGTGGTCGTGTGCGGGAGAGGCCATGGTGGAGAAATTCGGGAGGGGAAAAGGGGAGGGGCTTGCGAGGCCGTCCTGTTATATAGGTGCTGAGATAAGGTGCCGGGCACTGCAGGGAAGAAGCGCTCGGTCTTGCTTTGCTCGCCGCCGGTGCCTGTATGGAAGGGCACGGGTGAAAAGATAGGCGAAATGCTGGGGCGCCGTCGCAATATGGGATGTGGAATGTAGGGCCGGTCGGTGGTAGGGGGCCGGTCGGTGGTTTTGGGCCGGGTCTGGAAAAAGAAGGAAGCTGAGGGAAGCAAAAATCCTGGGACTCCGGGGGGCAGCCTGGTGGTGTTATATAGCTGGGCCAGCACTGGCTAGGCGGGCGCGCGCTTGCACATACCGCGAAGGAAGTTGAACTCCGGCCGGAACCCAGCTCCGAAGAAACGGCAGAAGCCTCCGCGCGCTGGGGTCAGATCCATCCGGGGCCTGCGTGTCGTATTTGTTTGGGCCAGCGGACGGCAGCAGGTGGGGCGATCAAAGCGCGGATTGTTTTTTTTTGGCCCCGCCTCCCTTCCTGGGTGCACTGGTGGATCCGGGGCCTTTTTTGGCTTGGTGATTGTATTTGGCTTGGTGGCTGTGATCGGACCTGTAATTGAGCTGGCTGGGGAGATGTAACAAATTTCCATGGGCTGGTTTGCCAGGTCTGATTTCTGGTATGTTTGATTGGACTTCGTTGGCTTTGATTGGTTTTCTGGCCCGCTCGGCCCGACGTCCACCTGCGGCTCGCGCTAAGCTTGGGTGCGACTCCAGGGCCAAGCCCAGCACCAGGTTCTGGCACCAGGCCCCGACAAAAGCCGCCCGACGCCCCGCTTCTACCCCGGAAATGTCCAGGCTCCGGTCCGTGTTTTCTTTTTTTTTTTTGACGGCTTTTTTATGTTGTCTCGTTTCACGCATTCTGAAAAAACCGGCCCGCTTTGCCACGCTCGGTGTTGGCTGTTCTGGTGGGCCCGCTGCGCACCGGCTGACGTCGCCGCAGTCTCTGCACTCCACGTTCCGGGGATATCTCCAGACGGAGAACAACGTCCGTGACTCAGGCCGCCGCATGTTGCACCAGCACAGAAGAGCGGTAGCAGATTTCGAGCACCCATGAGAGCGCTTGGAAATACACCCGCCGTCGGCGTGTTTTGCCCATCTCGAACCTCGTCTTTTTGATGGGGCCTGCTCGCTCTGTCGCCAGGCCTGAACAGCGAGGATGCGCTCGGACTTGAGTCATCGAAAGTCCGAAGGCATTCTGCAGGACAAGAAGACAGTAGTGGGTATTGTGTGCCAGATCGGCCGTTTTTTTATTGGCCGAAGATATCTCGCGCATGGACGATGGGCAAAGGGAGTCATCGGCATTGCAGCGCCAGACGCTGTCCACCTGTAAGCTCGGCAGTTAAAGTGCGCCCGCACTGGTGACGGATAATCTTATAATCCACGTCCTCCCCGCCACGACCCTAGGAGCCGTTACGGGATGTTGGATTTTCTTGATTCTGGGAAACTGTGATATTTGGCTTCTGCTTTTTTTTTTTTTTCATGTTGTGAGTTGTGGGGGGTGGTGTGAATGGCTCGAGAAGCGTGCTGTCTTTCAGCGGTCTTTTTGATTCTGCTGTCTTTTTAATTCTGCATCTGCTGTCTTTTTACTTCGGCCTCTGCTGTCTTTCTGATTCTGTCTCTGCTTCTGCTGTCTCTGCTGGGTCAGCTCTCCGCGTTGCAATTTCGTCTGGCAAGGCCTTCGGCAAAACACAGTCATTCATGAGCCGCAGCAGGTCCCCCAATTAGAACTGTTGGCAGACCCGCAAGACTGCAAAATAGGCACCCCAATTTCGGGGCACCTGGTGCCGTCCAATAGACAGTCGGAGCGGCCTGCTATAGGGGCTCATATTTCTGTGCGCCCCGTGGCATTCTTGGCCCTGCGCGGGGACCGTGAATCTCCCGAACAATAACCCGGGGCAAAACCCAAGCGCACTTCAGAGTACGGCCCCAGCATCTTGTCAGTGCCCGAGTCAAACCGTCAACAGTATCAGAATTGTTTCTCGCTGACTCCGGTACACTGGAGAAAAAAAACTGGAAAATAAAATACTAGCGTTGCTGTGCCTTGGGCACTGCCCGGTGCTTACGATAGCAAACGGCTGAAATTAACGTTTCGCAAAATTTCGCACAGGCCAGTGGACGGCCCGATTCTGAACCGTTGAGCGCGAGCGGAATTCCCCGCCCACCTTCAGTGCAGTAGAGCAACTCCATCCACGTTGCGCCGCAAGCTAATTGACTGAGAAAAAGGCAAGGCACAAAATTAACACCAGCAAATGGGGCCAGCAAAGAAGAGAGAAACAACGGCGAACCAGGGCTAGAGAGCCATGAAATACCGCCTGCGCCTTCGCTTTTCCCTCGCAGCATGCCTTCCAATTTCACATGGCCCTAAGCCCGTCGCTTAAGCCCGGCGTCGGGCCAGTGAAAAAAAACTTCGCGTCAATCATGCGATTTCTAAGCGCGCGGGCCAAAAATGGCGTTATCGATGGCCAGTGTTCGGGCCGCGATGGCCGCGAAACAGAGCGGGGAGTGGCGCCGCGGCCTAAAGCCCGATAGCGCACGGCCCACCCAGACTATAAAGCAGGTGGACTCGCACCCAAAAATCACAGGCACATCTTGTAAACGTAGCTCTTTGTACAATGTCGATGACCAGAACTTTCTCCACCACTGCTTTCAACGCGTTCAAGAAGGAATCCGTGGCCCAGTTCAACAACTTGGTCAAGCCACAGCCTGCTGCTAAGAAATGGCAGCCCACGGCCGGCAACTCGTTCCGCTCGTTCGCCGAGTACAGATTGCGTGCCGTGAACCAGTCTCCTTTGAAGTTGAGAAGCATCGCCAAGAAGTCCAGCTAGGCTGTGCAATGAAAACCAAGTCTTTTTCTTTGCCGTCTTAGGAATCTAGCGGGCTGGATCTTGCAGCTGCGCTATGTTTGGGTTTTTTGTATACGGCCGGGTCCGCCTTGGACCAGGCCCGGGGTATGGATGAGCGGCGGAACCGTTCCGTTTTGCTCGTGTCATTTAGTTTAATTTCAGTTCTTTGTTCAATCCGATTGCCCATGGTGATGGTGCATCTGTAATCCAGGAATTTTTCAGTTCACGGCACTTGAAGTCCGAGCCGCGCGGCTTGAGGCGTGTCGGCTAATCGCGGGAAAATCAGTAGATCCGCATGTGCGGGAAAGATCCTCACCCCGGTACACCCGTACCTCCAAAACTCAATATATTCCCACCTCCCATATCAATCCCACGTAGTCCTCATCTTCGCCCGCAAACTACGGATGCAAGGAAAAGTCTAGGATCCACCTACCAGCATTACGAGATGAAATGTGCGAGCCCAGATACTCATATCGTGCTGTATTCATGTTGATTCTACTTTCACCAAAAACTCGTCATGTAAGCCCTAGTGTAACTTCGCGCCGGCGGGTACAAAGGCGGGCGGCCTGGTGGAACCTCCGTGCACCGAGGGCCAAACCCCCTCGATATGAGCAAAGCACTACCGCATGGCCCACGCTTGTTGAAGCGCACGTGACATCGCGCACATGCGTGGAAGGAGCCCAGCCCGCCGCGCGCACGTCACGTGACATCACATCACTGCCGTTCTTTCCCTGCGATGGCTGAGACACGCGGCCGCACGCAGTCTTCCTAATACAGACGTATTGCTTTAAACCGTCAAGGCCGACTCCGAAGTTATGTAACTAGGAGATCCGAGACCAAAAAAAGAAAAAAAAAAACATCCCATTTGGACTCTCGAAAGTTGGCCTTGAACTATCTTTCCCGCGTTTCTTGGCAAACCACGAGTTCCATCAACCTCACCGGCGGACACTTGACCAGATCTACCGCTGTCTTTATTAGCAACAAACAGATAAGGGCGCCCAGGCGTTTTGTCCAGATTTCTCCACGCTACGTTTTTTGGCCGATATGCAAGAAACTCCGGCTGCTCTCATTGACCAGTTGGTCTATTTCGACAATTTCTTGCTCAATGAAGACACGCCTAACCTTGACTTGGATGCACAAGTCTCGCTAGACTTGGCTGCGTTTGCCGACGACTCGTTCGTGTTTGCTGAAGAAGAAAAGCCTGATCCTGGCGATCTAAGCGACATTGACCGTGAGGATGGCAACATTGACTCGCATGAAGACCAGCGTGGTCAGCGGCACTTGGAGCATGCGGAGGCACCGCTGGCCGGTTTTGAACCCCCCAATGAGCAGGCTGGCGCCAGCATTCAAGGACGCCCCGGCAGCGGAAACCTTCCTTTTGAAAACCAGGACCCTCTTTCCTCGTCGACTTCGCTCGGTGGGCCGTGGGTCCAGCAACAGAAGTCGAGAGAACTGAGCCCGCCAGGGAACGGGGAGGGCAAGCAATTGCACTCGCTCCTTGACAGCAAAATCCAGACGAAAAAGCGCAATAAATTGCAACAGCACGCGGGCCACTTGGCCGCGCCATCAAGCAATCATCTTCCGGGGCCGGGGCCAGATTTCCACCAAGCAAGTGAGAGCAGTCCTCTGCGTGGCGGCCCTCTTGGTCCACATAACAGCCATGGGGACCAAGGAGCCTGCAACGCGCATCTTCTTCCCGCTCAGCACCCAGGCCTTGGTCCGCGCCTGGATGCCGGAGGTGGTGCTGGAGGGGTTCCGGACCTCACAAACCTACCCAAATATCCGGTGCCACCCGGGGCCCAGAGCTCGCTCAAAAACGCAGGTCTTTCGCAGAACCAGATTGACTTGCTTTCTGCGCTCATAGCGCAGCACCAGACATCGTTGAAGACAGAGCCTGGACTTCCGCGGCCCCGGGAATCCTCGTCGCGGGCGCAGGAAGAGAATGCGCTATCGATGTTGTCCGCGTTTATTCCAGGAGCACTGAGTCCGGGTCACTCGGCAGTGTTGTCGGATTTACACGGCAGAGGCGACCCTGGTCTGCTAGATTCCGGCGTGGCTCCATCCCTTCAAGGAAGCCCTGCCTCAATGTACAGCTCCGAGCGGAGTTTCAGCCATGTGCTGGCCACAGGAAACGCCGCCCCAAAAGACCCTTCCCAAGGAAACCAGTCCGAGGGCAGCGCAGAGCCGCAGGTTGATAAAAGAAAGCGCAACACGGCAGCCAGCGCCCGGTTCCGGGTGAAGAAGAAAATGAAAGAAAAGGAGATGGAGACCAAGATCCAGCAGTTGGGGGACATGATCCAGAAGTTCGAGATGCGCATCGGTGACTTGGAGATTGAGAACCGCGTGCTCAAGAACCTCATCATCGAGAAGGGAAACCGCCAGTCGGATGAGGAATTGCGCTTGTTGAAGGACAAGGCGAGGTATGTGGATCGCACGCAACTGCACGAAGCCAAGGAGCCTGAATGAGAGGAGGGCATGCCGTGGAATCGAGGGATGGGCCTATTTGGCGTTGTAGAAGGGGACGACGCAGTGGGAAGACTACATGGGCGGAGGGGTGTGCAGTGGGCCTAGAATTATTGGGCCAAGACCTTGGAATGGGCAGAATTCTTGTGCCAAGGCCTGAGCAGAATTCTCGGGCCTTGAACTGAGCATAACGCCTGGGCCGAGGCCTTGGAATGAGCATGAGGAATGGGATCAGGACCCAACTCGTCCGTGGCAAGAAGAGGCGCGGGCTACGGACATGGCAAAGTATCGTCAGTGGTATTAGTTCGTGAGTGATGTGCGGTCTATAAAGTTCCGGGTGTAGCCAAATGTCAACAAAAACAAGAAAAGAAAGGGAACTCGTGAGTTCCGGGATGGAAAGACCAGGATCCGGAGGATCGGGTCTTGGAGAGATCAGGACCCAAGAACGGCCAAGAGCTGAAAGCTCGGGGCGCCGCCGCTCCTTCAAGGCCGCCCTGAAGAAGTCCAAGCAAGCTAGTGCTTCGGGATGCATGGAGAGCTTCTGGCATGGGGAATTGGAGAACTTCTGACATGGATGTGAGACGGCTTCTGACATGGAGTGAGACGGCTTCTGACATGAATGTTAAAAGCTTCGGGCATGAATGTTAAAAGCTTCGGGCATGAATGTTAAAAGCTTCGAACATGGATGTGAGACGGCTTCGAACATGGATGTTAGACAGCTTCGGCATGGATGTGAGACGGCTTCGAACATGGATGTTAGACAGCTTCGGCATGGATGTGAGACGGCTTCGAACATGGATGTTAGTCAGCTTCGGACATGGATGATAGTCAGCTGCGAACATGGATGATAGTCAGCTTCGGACATGGATGATAGTCAGCTGCGAACATGGATGTTAGATGGCCTCGAACAAGAATGTTAGAAAGCTTCGGACATGAATGTTAGACGGCCTCGGACATGCATGCCCCCGGCAGTGGCCCGGGGTTGCATCGTCCAGAACCACACATGCAACAGCCCCCGCGCCAGCCGTCAAAGCGACATGTCGTCCGCCGGCTTCTCGGAAGAGGAGCGGCGCGGGCGCAACTTGCGCACCGTTTTCTTCCAGCCGGAGTACTCACGGATATTGTCGAACACCGAGCCGAGCGACGAGCCGCGGGACGACGGGCGCGTGGACGCGGCGCCCGCCGAGTTGTTCCTGGTCGGGAGCCCCGCGGACTCGCAGGAGCTCGCGAGCTTCAGCATCTCGTACGTCTCGAGCGTCTTTTCCCACTGCACCAGGAGGTCCGGGCTGATGATGTGGAAGATGGTGTCTGGCGACAGCACGTCGTGCGGCGAGTCGTGGTCCTGCAGCAGGGCCTCCGGGGCCACGGCCTCCAGCGGGCGGCGGCACAAGATGTGGTGGGCGTGGTGCTCGCGGGCCGAGGTCACGAAGTCGTTGTAGTTGGCCGAGAGAAGCTCGTACACGGCCTTGCGCAAGACCAGTACCTCCTTGTGGTCTGGCAATACGTGGGCCAGGAAGCGGGCGAGCAACTTGCCGGGCACGTTGACCTCGCGCGGCGCCGTGCGGCAGATGTACGTGTCGTAAATGAGCGTCCACAAGCGCACGAGCCGCAGGTTCTCGAGGATGGTCTCGTCGTCGAGAAAGGGCACGGCTTCCTGCTGGCAGAAGCGCTCCAAGTACCGGTCGACGTCCCACACAAAGTCGAGGTTCTCTGCGCAGTGGGACAGGCGCAAGAAGTCCACGAACGCGGCCTTGCTGTAGGGGCCCGGCTGGAGGGCGCAGGGCTCCGAGCACACGATTTCGTCAAGGCTGGGCACGACGCCGGGCAGGCGGAAGTGCACGGGCGGCATGTGGTGGCAGGGGGCGCGTAGCGGGGACGGAGTGCCGGCGGTTTTGTGGTGGTCCCCGCGGTTTTGTCGTGGTTCCAGCAGTTTTGTGGTGGTTCCGGCGGCTTTTCGGTGGTTCCGGCGGCTTTCTGGATATCCTGGCGAGTTTGGGTGGTCCAGGCAGCGGTGTTGGCGAATCTTGGCAACTGTATTGGCGGATCCTGGCAACTGTATTGGCGGATCCTGGCAACTGTATTGGCGGATCCTGGCAACTGTATTGGCGTATCCTGGCGGCTATATTGGCGGCTTCCAACGGCGGTTCTAGCTGCTCCGGCAATCCTCTGGCTGCTCCTGAGGGGCCTTTCTTCCGGGCAAAGTCAGGGGCGGTCTCAGCAGGATCGGGCCTGGCGTGGGGCAAAATAAGTAGCACCACTTCTTGCGGGGCGCACGATAGGAGGCGGCAGAACAACACAGTCCTGTCAAACTTAGCGAGAATGGGCCGTGAGAAGCGTGCAGTGCGTGGCGGGAAAAGGACGGCAAGGCCAACAAGAATCACAAAGAATCTGGCCGGCTAACAATGGGCTTCTGCAAGCGAACAATGGTATATAAAACAAACAGGTGGGCGCCAGAGCTAGCCGAGATAGGCCCGCGCGAAGCGAGCGTCTTGTCACGTCCGGCATGCTGCGCCAGATACTGCGCACCGTCAGCACTGCGGCCTGTGTGCACGCCGTGCGTCGGGCCGCCCGGTGCGCGCCCGTTCGGAAATTAGACCCCGGGCCCAGCTCGTGCACTTGGTGGGGTGGGGCAACCACAGCACACACCAAGCATGGTGGCCGGGTCTGGGGCGCAGGTTCGTTTGCTGGGCTTGGTGGGGCCGGGGCCAGGCAGAGAAAAGTAGGGCCGGGATCTGCAGATGGCGTTCCTGTGGGCCTGGGGCCGTGGGTCGTGCGCGTGCTGGATCTGCGCCGCCAGATATGACAAGAGCGTCAGCTCATATTGCTGGCGACCGGGCCACTCTTTTGGCCTGTGCGCAGGCCTTTTTCCTGTTCGGTGTCTGGGGTGGCCCTGTGGGCTCGGGCGGCTTGTTTTTTGTTGATCAGTGTTGCCTGTGATTTCTGTGTCTTCTGGTGTTTTGTGATTTCTGGTGTTCTGTGTATTCTGGTGTTCTGTGTATTCTGGTGTTCTGTGATTTCTGTGTATTCTGATTTCTGTGTTTTTTGTTGTCCTGTGTATTCTGATGCTCTGTGTATTCTGATGCTCTGTGTATTCTGATGTTCTGTGATTTCTATGTATTCTGATGCTCTGTGTTTTTTGTTGTCCTGTGTATTCTGATGCTCTGTGTTTCCTGGCTTCCTGTATTTTCTGTTGTTTTGGCTTCCTGGTTTCCTGTGGTATTCTTCGATCAATCCTCTATTCCTGTTACGTTTCGTGCGCTCCAGTTACTCTTCTTCGCTCCGCTTTTTCTCCCTCATTATTACTCATTTACTTCTCCTGTCTTACCCGATGCTCTGCCAGCACCCTTCCAGTAACTTCTCAGTCTTCTAACCATCTTCGAATGATTCTCTACCCATCTTCTCTCAATCTTCTAAACATCTCCAAATAATCCCCAAATCTCATAAGGATCTGCCCTAGACACTGTTTGTCCTCCCACCGCCTGCCTGCGGTGACCAGCTTCCCAGCCCTGCTGGCCCTATATTCGTGGGCGCGGGCCAAGCTTTCCCCGGCAGCGCTCTCAACCTTCCCTGACATGCCCATATTGTTTGGCCGTTTTCTGCGCCGCCTCGCCGATGTTTCTTTTTTGTCACTCCATTGCGTCATGGGTCGGCTACCTTGACACAACGCTTCGTTTTCGCGCAAAAAAAAGGGGCGAGGGGAAGGGCGGATGGTCCCGTTCAGATTGGCCCTTATCAAAGTGCTCGCCGCTCCGCATTTTCTCCGCCTATCTCGGAGAAAACGAGGCTTGGCTCATCACGAAGGCGGCCGTGCGGACAATTCCGAGCGGCTGCCGAACACGACCCGAACGTGGCCCGAGCCGATCTCCTGATCTGCGAATTATTGGGCCTGCTGCGGTAGCCCACTCGAGCCGCGGCCCGTTTTCTGGGCCTATTTTATTTATTGTTTCTTGCTGCTATGTTTTAGAAAATACTGGTGTTTGCCCAATACGGGAACCGCGCCCAGCCGTTTTTTTTAAAGTAGTTTTTTTTTCATCCGATGGTTTCTTATCTATTTGTTTAATCTGCCTGTTTAGCCTTTTGGACAATCTGTTTAGTCTTTAGAGGTCCTCTTCTTGTTTGATGTTCTTGTTTAGTTTTCCCGTTTAATCTATTTGTTTGATGTTCTTGTTTAGATTTCCTGTTGATTCTTGTTCATCTTCTTGTTTAATCTTCTTGTTAATCTTCTTGTTAATCTTCACGTTTAATCTTCTTGTTAATCTTCACGTTTAATCTTCTTGTTAATCTTCTTGTTAATCTTCTTGTTAATCTTCTTGTTAATCTTCACGTTTAATCTTCTTGTTAATCTTCTTGTTAATCTTCTTGTTAATCTTCTTGTTAATCTTCTTGTTAATCTTCACGTTTAATCTTCTTACTAATCTTCTTGTTAATCTTCACGTTTAATCTTCTTGTTAGTCTTCACGTTTAATCTTCTTGTTAATCTTCTTGTTAATCTTCTTGTTAATCTTCTTGTTAATCTTCTTGTTAATCTTCACGTTTAATCTTCACGTTTAATCTTCTTGTTAATCTTCACGTTTAATCTTCACGTTTAATCTTCTTGTTAATCTTCTTGTTAATCTTCACGTTTAATCTTCTTGTTGATTCTTTCTTCTTGTTAATCTTCTTGTTAATCTTCACGTTTAATCTTCACGTTTAATCTTCTTGTTAATCTTCACGTTTAATCTTCACGT